GGTACTGTTGCGAATCATCATGTTGCTACTGTGGTAGTTTTTGAGCTACCTAACCGCTGTTCGAGTGGGGAGTGCAGAGAGTCTGGGCGGCGAAAACCGCCCAGGTATCAGGATGAGGATAGTACAAGTTATGTATATATTGTATGTTTTTGCATTGAAGGAGACGCCCCCAGCTGAATGTAATGTACGAGTTGAATGTATTTTTAAATACTATTATTAGATTTACTCTGTTCAAAATACGCATGCCTACCTATATGATAACTCATTTGTGACACGTTGCACTTACATGTGACATGTGTGCCTAATATACATTACATGGAATTACGATATCTTTGCCAAGAGAATAAGAAAGAGTATCGGTTCATAAATGTTAAATATATTCACGAGATAATGCTTACTTGGATCAATTTAAAATAAAAAAGAACTGTGGTTGCCAACCAGTCCACCAAGCGTGGTAACTGTGACTGAATTTACTCTATAAGAAAAACTATGAGGAAGGCCTATACTTAATAATAGGCCCTTGATAGGCTGCAATGAATGAATGAATGAATTAATATACTACCCATGCGGATAAAGAATGGGATTAAAGTGGCGTCTCTATTCACCTCTCGCTCGCACACTGTCGTTATCTATACTCACACCCACTGGTAAAGACTGCAAAAATTTTTTTTGCGATATGCGTTTTCCGGTACGTTCTATAGGTACAGTCCAACTTGTCATTGGAATCAATGATAATAAATTCCCATAAACTACAAAAATTCAGTCCGGTTTTGCTAATTTATGAGCTACGACGCATTCTGAGAGCTTTCTTCATACCTGTTTATTGTTAATTTTGTTTGTTATAAAATATTTACATTCCATTGAGACATGAGTAATCATTTAAAAAAAATGGATCGTCTGTATGTCGTAGCTAACCTTTGAAATGGTTGAACCGATTGTAATAAAACTTCACGAAAAAATAGAGAGTGGTGCCAGGAGTGATGTAATACTAAATTTTATCTGAAATATTTAGAGATTTTTTTAAATAGAAATACTGATAAGATAAAATAAATGGCATACCAGGAGAAGCTAAATCGATTCACTAATTATAAATGCTATTTTAAAATTAATGGAAACGTATTTAAAAATAATTGTGTACCTACGCAAATAGGTGCATATACAATTCTTTCCAAAAATTTTGCACATTAATGGAAAATTTCCAAATAATATAACGATTTACCGTTATTAGCGTGTTGATGGTACGGGCTGGCGGAGTCGCCATTTATAATCCCATTCTTTATCAGTACGGACTCTAATATTATAATTCTTTGACCTGGTGCTAAAAGGGCGTACGTTTATTGATAGTCTTTCAGAAGATACTATGTAAGAAAGGCCAATGTAATGAGTACTTACATACTGATTAATAAAATAAAATATGTGCTACTGTACAGTACTGTACTGTTTGATAAAAACGTACTTTGCCCTTTTAGCAACGGTCACAGAATTAATATAATATAAATAAAACTTTCTAGACCAATGAACATATACAAATGTTACTTGACTTTAAGTTTATACTCAAGAACAAATAAGTTGCACAACTTCATGCAATGATGCTTTTGTTTCTCCAGTAGACAAACAGTACAAGGTAGTGACCTCATTGAAACCGTATACTTTCTGAAACCATTGTCTTCTTGTATTCTAGGCCTGTATTTGTTGATACCTTCTTGTTTTGCGTTTCAAGTTATATTTAAGGTTGTCAACTTTAATAACTGGTAAAATAAAAAAAATGTACAACCGACTTCAATAATTTATTGTTGATTAAAATGAGATAAATGAGAACTATATCTTTTAAAAAAAAAAAGATTTTTCAATATCGGTTCAGGCGCATTCGAGTAATCTCTGAACATACATGAAAAAGATTACGATGACGAATTGAAAACCTGCTCCTTTTTTCCTTTTCCTTTTTTAAAGTAAAGGTTTAAAACATAACGAAGTATCTAAAACATTTACCTAAATTACTTTATTGCATTGTTGTGCATAACCAACGCTGACGACGCTTTAAACATAAATTCTTCAACTTTTGTTCAGTGGTATTATTCTAATGATTCATTTTAATTTATTCATATACTTATTATTTATTATACATATCTCATCACTTAGTAAACAACATTAATTCTTTTTGTAACAACGCACAAAGCATGCATTCCATCCAACCTGGGATAAAGTGACCCAAAATAAATTCGTAGCGCCCAGTTTATTTATGGTAAAGAATTACGCCTTCCTTGTTTCTTATAGCGTGAATGACTTCATCAAATGTGTCTTTTGTTTATCGTTATCTATTCACGATGAAAATCTTACATTTAGCCCGTATATTTTGATTGAAAGTGGAACGATTAAAAATAGTACTGTTATAAGAATGTCTATTATGTAATCGTCAAAACGTTGTAGTTTTTGGTAGAGTAAACCTACAATTTTATTCTATTCCTATTTTTTTAAAAGTAGTACCTAAATAAATAAACTGATTATTAGTATTTTAACAGATCTCTTTATTAATTAATTTTGGCGTAAACTGATTTAAAGGATTTTGAGTGTGTGTAGAATAAATAATACTGTATATCTCTGCACACCGGTTTTGAAATTAAACCTATTCCCTATATAGTGTAAGTCAGTATAATATCAGGTATTTCATACCGTTGTCATCAACTGTCTGTTGAGAGCTGTGTGATATTTATAATCTTCTTAAATATTACATTAATAATTTTGGGCTATTATTATTTGATTAAACTAAATTCGGACAATATTAATTGTTACCATTTAATATAAAAAAATCCAAAATATCAGGATTCTGAAAATGCCATGCGATGGTGGTTTCACCGAATCCACCGTCACATTTCTATCCGAGGGAGTCATGAGAGGCAATTGTGAAAAATGCCAGAAATATTTCGTACACTTCGATAGACCTGGTATAACTATCTCGTTTACGGCAAACGTAAAATACCGAGAACTTTAATCTGTGCCAGAATGGTTACGGAAGAAGTTCAAAATCGGGAAATGTGTGGTAATGCGATCGTTAATTTGCCTGTCAATTCTGGTGATTATGGTAAATTTTCTCTACAAGTGAGGAAACTCATGCCCAGTAGTGGACATTGTAGTGGAAGAAATTATTGAATCTGAAAATATAATACTTAAGTACAAATAGTGAAAGTAGTAGGAAGTCTATATATTATGAATATATCGTAAAAGTTACAGCCTATACAATATGTAACGTAATTAACGCACTTTGAGAACGTAGTTTGTTCAGAATCGTTTACTGAATTGATTCCTATCATTTTAATATACTTAGGTAATTTTTTATCCCAATAATAATTAAAACTACGTAAATTACAGTCACACTAAATCTGTACAGTCAAAACAAACTGAAACGGACCGTACCTTTATAATAGGCAATAAGACTTTTAAGAGTGCAGTTTTATTTGTATTATTAATAATTCTGTCATTCAATAAAAATAAAGAAAAATGATCTTTATTTCAAGCACGTGAAAGTCTTTGCGTTCGTGGATTTGTACTGTGACCACAACATTCTTCCGGAATTAGTATGACTAATTTGATAAATAATCAGTGCATAAAAATGTTTAACTAAAAATTCAGTGTATGTATTATGATTATAACATAATACTAATTGGGGTGTCTGAGAGTGCGCGTTAATTACGTTACATATTGTATACGTCTCACTGCTGGGCACAGGCCTCCCCTCATTTCTGAGAGGGTTTTAGTGCAAGGAAGTATCCGCCGCGCTGCCCCAATACGTGTTGGCGAACTTCACATGTCTTAGAAATATTTTTTTCTTATTCCTCAGACATAGGAATACAGACAATAGGGAAGACAATAGGGAAATAGAGTAAATGGGGCCTTGCACTCTATTGTGAAGATTCAAAATGTGTCGAAAAAGGCACGTATGGCAATTCACAATGCTGTGTTGGTCCCTACTTTAACGTATGGTAGTGAAAGTTGGGTGTGGCAGAAGAAGCACGAGAGTAGAATAAACGCAGTAGAAATGCGGTCGTTAAGGAGTATGGTAGGGCTGAATCTGAATGACAGGGTAAGAAATTGTGTAATAAGAGAAGAGTGTGCTTTGCAAGATGATGTTGTGACCAGGATTAAGAAAGGAATGCTTCGGTGGTTTGGTCATGTGGAAAGAATGAATGAGGAAAGAGTGAGAAAGAAAATTTATGGTGCAGAAGTGAATGGCAGAGTCGGAAAGGGACGTCCTAGGCGAAAATTTATCGACCAAATTGGCGATTTATTGAAAACGGGCCAAATTAGGAGTACCCTTAACCGACGAGCATGTATGCGTAGGTGTATGGATGTGAAGGAGGCAAGAGAGGTGTGTCAGGATCGTGCCAAATGGAAGTCTGTAGTCTCTGCTTACCCCTCTGGGTGACAGGCGTGAGTGTTTATGTATTATGTATCCTCAGACATGCAGGTTTCCTTACGATGTTTTCCTTCACCGCCGACCATGTAGTAAATCAGCACTTAAAATTGCAATTAACAATTTCATTGGTGCCGGCGGGGATCGAACCCGGGTTATTTGCGTTCTGTTATATTTTCAGCGAGCGTTAACCATCTGAGCTACCACGGCTCGGCTGAATATATCGTATTGGAATGCAATTACGACGTCAATGATTAATCTATTTGTAGGTGTTATGTGTTTCTTAACGTTAACGTCACGGTCTTATCGTTGTTTTACTCGATTTTGTATTTACAAGCTACCTAATTTGCTTTAAACGTTACTAGTTATACCTATAGCTAGCTACACTAAGTTTTTATCCAATATCGTGGGGCCATAAAAAATAAGTGTTCTGTGCTTGAGTAGAACCCGCGGCCCAAGCGTCGCAAGTCAATTCTAAGCTACTTTGCCACAGAGTCGTCAATGTTTTTGTTATATTATTCCTTTATTCAACTTTAATTTAAACATTGTTAGTTGTATAATGGTTCTGCTATACAGGCCTATTGTTATACAGGAGTCGTGCGGGAGCGTCCTTGGATGACCGCTTCACTACATCAGAGGACGCAAGCGGCATCCGCTTGACCGTCTCCGCTGCTCAGACTGGTGACAGCGGCATATACACGCTGCAAGTGAGTGCCTTGAAACATCATACATATATGTACATATCACACACACACACACACACACACACACACACACACACATACACACACTCACACACAATATATATATATATATATATATATATATATATATATATATATATATATATATATATATATATATATAATACGTTATATGAAACATAATAATATAACACATAACAGAATAGTAACATTCGCAGTCTACAATTTCCGTATTAAATAGTATTTCTACAACAATATACTACATGTAACATAATTAACGCACTTTGAGAAAGTAGTTTGTTCAGAATCGGTTACTGAATCGATTCCTATCATTTTTAATATACTTAGGTAATTTTTTATCCCAAAAATAATTAAAACTTCGTAAATTACAGTCACACTAAATCTGTACAGTCAAAACAAACTGAAATGGACCGTAACTTAAGGCAATAAGACTTTTAAGAGTGCAGTTTTATTTGTATTATTACTAATTCTGTCATTCAATAAAAATAAAGAAAAATGAACTTTATTTCAAGCAGGTTAAACGTCTTTGCGTTCGTGGATTTGTACTGTGACCACAACATTCTTCTGGAATTAGTATAACTAATTTGATAAATAATCAGTGCATAAAAATGTTTAACTAAAAATTCAGTGTATGCATTATGATTTTAACATAATATACTAATTGGGGTGTCTAAAGGTGTGCGTTAATTACGTTACATATTGTATATTATTGTTAGAGTTTTTATATTTATGTATTAAGTAATTGTTTCATGGTAAATTAAAAAAAAAATTAGTTCCGGTTAATAAAAAAACCAATGAAAAAAGGTTTTATAGCTTCTACTGATTTTACTTTATTTTAATATAAATGAACTTTCGCTTCTGTTTATGAAGGCCAGCAATGCTGCCGGGAAGGACTCACACCGCTTGCGACTGGAAGTGTCTGCGGAGGAGACGCCAAGTGGCGATGATCCACCGACGTTTCTGCGGCGCTTGCAGGACCTCACTGTTAAAGTTGGCACTCGGACACGTTTCCTGGTTGAAATCGTTAGTTCTACAGAGTGCAAGGTTAGTTACCTTTACCTACAAATTCCCCAAGTGGGATGTAGTTTGTGATATACTACTCACTGTGCTTTGCGACTTGCTAAGTACTCTGTTCACCAATTACATAAATTTCTTACTGCAATATATAAGATTGTTTCTTACTAGGCTGCACTAAAAGTATCGGGAATGGAATATTTCCACTGTTCCTGTCATATTGAAATCTTTTTAATTGAAAACTCCTTGGTTTTAAAAATCGAATACCATTTATTTATTTAAAAAAAGATTCTCGGTCTTGTCACAAGGTTTTGTCAAACTTGTTTAGTCGTTGAGAAAATGGAATTGACTCGAGAAAATTCAAGAGTGATGATTTATTATGACTTTCGAAGTGGTTTAACACAAAAACAGTGTGTTGACCGGATGATTTCTGCATTTGGTAATGAAGCCCCATCCAAAACCACAATTTATCGCTGGTTTGCTGAATTTCAACGTCGACGTGTAACACAGAATTATTAGACCATCCGCCGTACAGCCCCGACCTAAGCCCTAATGATTTCTATACTTTTCATAAAATAAAGAATAAATTGCGTGGATAGAGATTTTCATCATCCGAAGAAGCTGTGGACGCCTACAAAACGGCCATTTTGGAGACCCCAACTTCCGAATGGAATTGTTGCTTCAATGATTGGTTCCATCGTGTGGAAAAATGTGTCAAATTTCGCGGAGAATACTTCAAAAGCAATAAATACATTTTTAAATAGTAATTGTGTCACTTCCTTGAGTCCCGAAATTTTCAGTGCCGCTAAGTGTCAGACGTGATAAAACGCTCCGTGATACTTAGGTTTCTTCTATGAGTTCGAAATAGAATATCATAGAAATAACATTAATGTCTTAAAATATAGAAATTATCGTAATAAAACGGTAGGTACTTAAAACCAGATTATTTTTAATATTTCGTTATACTTGTAGAAGTACTGAGTAGCCCACACTCAGAAAGTAAAAAACTAAAAAATTTATAGTTAAAGTTTCTTCTTACGAAATCCTTTTAAATAACTTCTAGAGAACTTCAAGAACTTCTAAGAAATATTTTTCTAGAGAAGTTAAAGAACTTCTCAGAAATATTTTTGCCAGTCTACCTCAGACACCTTTTCTACGGTCTGTTCTACCGCCTCTAGCGCATTTTCTGGCGTTGAAGACCATTCTTTCCAGCAATTTTTTTGTGGGGAACATAAAGAAGTCATAAGGCGTTAAATTAGTAAAGAGTGTAACTCAAAAGATTCACCGGTGTCCTCGCCAAGAATTCTCTTGTTTTGAGCGCTTAGAGTTATGTTGAAGCAGTAGCCTGCGGTGATTAATGCTTATGGTATTGAACGCTTCTCTTATAAGCGTTGGGACCCAACACAAAACTATCCTCCTCACGGGAAGGTGTTCTTTTAAAAACTTGTGAACACTTTCCTATCCAACCTGCAATATGTGCTAAATCACTTCATAAGAATTTAGCCTATTCTCTTTAAATTAATTTCTTCAGGCGTCAAATAGCAACCACTTCTTTTTTCATCTCTCAAGAGTAGTCCGTGTTGAATTTGGTTATAGTACATTTGAAGGGCCTTTATCCAGAATTGTAAGTTGTATCAAACGATACGTCCAATTTAAGGATAATTTAAATCGTAAAAAATTATCGTACGAAAATGTTCCTGAGAAAAATCCATTTTTGAAGTATTAATATTCTCATCTGATCCATCCTTAAATAATGTAGGAACTGCATCTTTTCTAAATCTTTTCCATTTCAAATTTTACCTAAATAACAATGGAAAAGTAAAGTAGATAAACATACAGCCTAATACTTCTTACTAACAGGCCTCCTCTCATTTCTGAGACGGTTTCAGGCCAATTACATATGAATCCAAAGTAAAATGCTCAGAACAAATAGACTGCCCCTGAAATTCAACTTTGAAGACCAATACGATTTAGCCACTCATTTTTCCTCTATCTTTAGCAAATCTGCAAAATAAAGGTGTCGACAACATTACACGTATTCAGTTTTTTTATTTAAAAAACGTTACCCCCACACTAGGATATTCTTCTGTATTGTGGGGGTAATTTACATAAATAAATTTCAAAAGGACATCCAGATCCAGAACAATTACTTGTAGAAACAAATACTTATTCAGTGCGGGATTCGAACCCGCGGCCCTTAAGCGCTGCAACTCATTGCTAAGCCACTGCTCTACGGAGCCATCCAAGTTAATCCCTAAAAATCGCTAAATTCACTATTAAAATAAACATACCCACGGTTACCTATTCGCTAAATAATGTTTCAATAAAAAAATCACATTTAATACATACATAATATAACGAAAGCTTTCCGGCGGAAACTAGACATTGACTATTTTGTTTTCGTAAAGAATGGGACTTGGGCAACCCACAGTTACATAATAATGTACCACAAAGACCACACACTTACTATTTGTATTAATCCAAAGTACCAATATAATCATGGAACTATTATTTAAATATCATAATAATCATACGAGTTTACGACAAATGTATAAATAATGAACATGCAATGAACTGAAAGTTCAATCGCATTTGATCGGGTTGAATTCGTGGTTGAAAAACACAGTTCCACTTGTGACACGCCAAAAAAAGTAAAACAAAGTATATTTTTTTATAGAATACAAGTTTGTTGAGAACACACAGTCCACTTGATGGTAAGTAGATGCTGTGGCTCATAGATATCTACATCTATTCTCAATTAAAAAATAACAGTGCAGATACATTGTCACCCTTGAGGACTAAGATGGAATGCCCCGTTTTCTGTGACAACGGTCTCTGCTTCTCTACACTCACCATACGAAACACAGCAGCTTTAAGCTGCTATTTATTTATTGAAATAATACTAGTTTTTACGGAATTTATCGCGTATATTTAACTTTTTATATACCGAAATACCCGAGCACTTAGTGCTGTAAAGCGTTCGAAACGTCGGGTATTTAAAAAGTTAAATATACGCGATAAATTCCGTAAAAACTAGTATTATTTCAATGTATAGTGTTCGCGTAAATATAAGAAATCATTATGCTATTTATTTATTAAATAACAATAATTTTTGTTACTCCCGCGTCTTTTTATCGTCATATTATCGAACGGAATCATCGTAATTAACGGAGTTACACAATTTTTGTTTTAGCCTCACTTCTATGCTTTAGTTATTATTCTGAGTCTTTGCACGTGTGACAGTATTATTCCTGCATGTATTACCATGTAAGTTTCCCCATTTAATTAATTTTTGTGGGGTAATTTTTTTGTTTATCAAAAAATTACACGGAACACAATTACTTCACGAAACTTAAAAGTACCCTCACGGATAGGACGGGCTTTTTGTACACATTGATATATATGATACTGCCTTGTTAGTTGATACTGCCTTTACTGCCTCGTTAGTCGAGTGGTCGGAAACGATTGCTGATCATGAGATACCCACTTATTTCGAATCCCGGGTTGGACCAAAATCAGTTATTGGGTTTTTCTGTCAAAAAATAATTCTCAGTGGCAGCCCGGAGCCAGGAAGTTGGCGGTGTATCACCCCCGTGCCTCGGAAAGTACGGAAAGTCCTGCTCCTGATCTCTCTCCGATCGTGTCGGATTACCATTTCATCGGACTATGACATTGAGGGAATAAAATGTACCTACACCTATGTCTGTGATGCAACTCTGGGGCACTATAATCCTGTTCTGAACAGACGGTTGGACACCGTAGACAGGCCGCCGTGACCGAAAAACGTCTGAAAGACGTCTGGAGGATGTATGATACAAGAAAAACTATTGATTTTTTTCTTCACCGATGAGGCGTGATAAATAAGTAATTTATTTATATAGCAATAGGATACCTACTTTATTATTAATTAAAAAGGAAGTTTCCTTATATTAATTTCCCGACTATTTCTTTCGTCTCAGGCACTTTACCGCACCCATGGTCACGGTAGGGGGCGGGGGGAGGGGTGATCGATATTTCGCTATATTTCCTTATTTTATTCACTATCTCACTTACACTCGTATTCAAAGAGTATAAAAAGTATATACAGGCAGTAGGAATGCGTATATCGTTTTCAATGACATAATTTTTCTATTTTCAAACTTCAAATCTGTTGTCGTATTTATAATGGTTTTTAGTGAACTACTCTACTACTCTTATTACTCTACATTCTCTGCCGTGTTTATATTGTAAACATTTCAACGTGGGTGTGTGTGTGTGTGTGTGTGTAAACAAGATGGCGCTTAAATTTGTGATGAGTGTTCACATTCCTTTTATTAAAAAAAGACATAATAGCTACATTTATTATTCTACTATATTTATCTGGCAGCAATGCTCTAAACATTATGATACATTTAAATCTATGCATATATTTATGAAGTTATGATTAGTTACTAGGCTTGTTAAGGAGGTTTATGGTTGAGCTGAATAAAGGTATTCACGGTATTTTATTTTTGACCAATTTACATAAGTTTCTCAAATGTAATATTTAAAATTAAAGTATTCACTCAAAATGAATAAAAGTAGACAATTGTATTCAGATGCTAATTGCTATGCTCTTACTTGAAATGGATGTTGGGAGTTTTATACATAGATTCTTAGAAATGAACCGTTTAGACTGCAAACGCGTTATTTAAACGTTTTTAACGAGGTATAAATAATGGCGTAACATTCCATAACTCGGAGAAAAATATTCAAAGGTTTTTATTACAAATAATCTGCTTAAGGACACTATAATTAAAATCTTGAAGCTTAGTTCATCGCAGTAATGCTCCAATGTCTCCGTATGTTTGACTGGATCCTATATAACCTGGATTATTTTAGCGCCGTGCTCCCGAAAACAGAGAGTTATCAACTCGTTCTAACCTAACCGTATTCGATGTCACGCTAATACGACATGGTCGGATGTAGTTTAGCATACATCTGAGAAGGAATCGAAGGAGTTTTCCTCTCCAAAAAACTATCGGCGTCCTGAAGCTTGTTTCCTGCCGCCCGGTTCCAAGCTTCAGGACGCCTATAGTTCAGGTAATTGCTTTTTACAGTGAAAATAATGGTAATTTAAAAAAAAAACATAAGCCCTGCTTTATAGTTAGTTCAGTTAGTATGCAAAGTTTCATCATCGTATTTAAAGTATTTTATGAATAACAGCGGTTTATTGTTCAGTTTGGAGGTAACTTTGGACTTTTTTCTATCGAGAAAATTTCACGGAACCATGTTTTCGTCTAACATAGTACTTAACATTAATCCTCAACTTTACCATATATTTATTTAAAAATTAATGCTGCAATATTTTCGGTATAACGGAGGATCTTGCTAAGCCATTTGAGGTTATATTCCCCCTTAATCAATTTTTTTACAGGTGACATGGTATCGCAATGAGCGTCGGCTGATGGAGGCCGAGCGAGTGGCGTTGGTAAGGGATGGAAATTTCTGGTGTGCAGATGTTGCCACTGTGAGTGTCGATGATGCAGGACGATGGACCTGCACTGCTGAGAACGCCGGTGGTAGGGCCAGTTGCTCCGCTCACCTCAATGTCCTTGGTGAGAATTTACTGTTATAATTTTGTTGTCATCCTATTTTGTATATCTCTTCTATACTTATTTATGTATGTTTTGACTATATCCTAAAGTTATATGTATATAAGCATTGGTTATTAATTGCAATTTTATGAGGTGATTTACCACGTGCTCGCCGGTAAAGGAAAACATCGTGTGGAATAATCGTAAAGTATTTCTAGAACATTTTGAGTTGACACGGACTTAATGCTTCCATAACTCTCAGAAATTAAAGTCCTGTGTCCAACAGGCTCTGACATTTTTCTACTACATATTATTACGCATATTTTATTTATTATATGGCATTTAAATATCAACTTCATCATCATTAGTGTGGTCTAGTGATGGACTTATCCCAAGTTCACTGCTGAACGTGGATTTTCCTAAATGAATGTCACAAACATTGGCCTGAGCGCAATGCATCCATCAATTTTCTACATGCTTACTGGTACAAGGATGTCCATGAAGTATTATTATATTATACAAACCTAGTAGGCTGCCATTAGTACTAGTCCTGCTGGTTTTCTTGCTGGTTCTTCCCTGGATAGGGGTTTTTTTCCGAACCAGTGGTAACCTTAAATGACTTTCAATAAGTATTCTTATAATCTATATTGCTTATAAGAATACTTATTGAAAGTCCCTATTATATCTACTGGTTGTAGTAGCACAATTGCTGATCATGAGGTCCTGGGTTCGAATCCCGGGTCGGGCCAAAAAATGAATTTTTCTGTCAAGAAATTCTCAGTAGCTGCCCGGAGTTAGGAAGTTGGCGGTGTCTCACCTCCGTGCCTCGGAAAGCACGTAAAGCTGTTGGTCCTGCGCCTGATATCTCTCCCGGTCGTGTCGCTTTACCGTCCCATCGGATTACGAGAGTGAAGGAATAGAGAGTGCTCCTGTGCTTGCGCATACACTTGGGCACTATAAACCTGTCCTGTGCCGATGGCTAGCCTCCGTTGAGGCGGGCCGCCGTGGCCAAAATTCGGTCTGAAGGACATTATTATTATTATTAATCTATATTGAACAAAAACGATTCTATTTGGTGAACCATTTTTCCTAATCACTTGTCAACTTTTCGAGTTGTACGGCGGATCATTGCAACTTCAATTTACGGGTTCGCTAAAGGTTTGTATCAATAATTTATACACGTTGTCTTTCTATAATTTATTGCCGTCTTATTACACGAAAACACGGTCTTATTAAAATATATTTAATTTGTATGTAATTGTAATTCGTTTGTTGTAATCTGAATAGCTTTAAACCAAATATGACACTAATAGCCGGATTTTGAATACGCTCAAGTTAGTTTACTAAACTAACTTGAGCGTATTCAGATTCTTGCATAATCGAGAATAGAGAGGAGTAAAGATTGTGCTAACATAATCTTAGGAATGGGAAGAAAGGACGTAAACTCCTCAGCAAACGTCTTTTTATACTATATTATACGTAATTCTATATAAATGTGAAAGTATAGTCGCAGTGTAGGTTACTGTGGCCTGTCCTTAATTTTCCTTTTAATTACTTACGCAGTATCCTGATTAGGTCAACAATTATATCCTAAACGCTTAATAAATCGTAAATTAATTAACGATCGGGTTGCGGGATGCCGGGGATGAACGCATGATTTGAAAATAATAATACAATATAGATAAAATAAGATTTATAATTATCTGTTTTCTATATTTCCAGTACCAAAAGCGTACAAGCGTCCGGAGTTTGTCGAGGAGCTTCGTGCATTACTCACAGAGCAAGGAACAGTATCATTGGAATGCAAGGTGGTGGGGGTTCCAACGCCTGTTCTGCGTTGGTTTAAGGTACTCCAAATCTTTTTTAAATTCCTTATCAGTATATAAGGTGATATATTCATATTTTACGAAACATAGTAAGTAAATATATAGCATTCAGCACGCTTATGTTAGTAAACCGTCATTTCAAAGCACTAGTTCTTCAAATTACGATGAACTATTAACGTTGGGTCGATGAAGATCGATCTCAGATTGTTGAACATATTGTGAGATTCCAGCTTTTATTTATTATTTTGCGTGTGGTGTACACAATAAAAGTAAATGTATCTGTTGCAGTTTTATGATAAAACCTGGGTTTTGATTAAAAACATAGGCTTTTGATCGTCATAAACCTGAGCTTTATGTTATCGTAATCCTGATAAAATCCAGTTTTTTGATCGAAAACCTGGACTGATTTACTTTTATGATAAAATCTACCTAATCTAAGTTAAAGTAACCAAACCTAACCTATGCTTAAATTTTATTATAAACCTATACAAGTTCAGGTTTTTGATCAAAAAATAGGATTTTTTCAGGTTACTGATAAGATTAAGTAATAATTTTGTCTTCTTTTTTTTTTGATCAAAGCCTAGGTTTTTGATCAAAAACCTGATTTTATCGTAAACCTGCAACATATCTATCATTAGGCTTCTTCCAGCAGTATCATCCTATATTCATTATGCATCATAACAAAACCACACAATTTTTCATTTTTCCTCTAAATTCTGCATCGTAAAGACTCTTTAAATGCGTTATATGGGCAATACCTTACAATTAAATAAATGCGCCGCAGCCAAAGATTGGTAAACAAGTCAACCAAATTTTCAAACTTTATTAAGTATAACATTTATTATTCAATAGTTTATTTTTGTCAATGTTGTTCGCAGTCCATTAGACGGTAATTGATACTGTGGCCTATAGACAACCAGGTATATCAATTCTCGATTATGAATCAACTCTTAGAATGTATCCCCAGTTCTCATCACTTACCGTAATATGTTACGTTACGTAACTCGATGTTCTATGTCTGGTATTATACCGAATATATTCTATCGGAAGTCACGAGATCTTGCTATTTTTTGTATAGCTGCCTCTTACGATACCAACGGGCTAATGTGCGATGATAAATTCTCTAACGCCGCCTCCTCACGGCAGTTTACAATAAAATAGTATAGTATTTGTCTAATACGTTCCACTATTGCCACTGGTGTCGTTTTTAATATTAAGACAACTTTTTTAACCTAATATTAAGCCAGCGTTTGATTTCTATCCCACTGCACTAACTGTACGCGTTGACTAAACTTAATCAACGTCTATCTTCTTTTGCGTTAAAGATACATACACATTGTAAACGGATGGAAATTATTCCACTCCTTTATTGTATTTTTTATAGAACAAGGGTGATAAATGAGCTGTGCACCTGATGGTAAGAAGATGCTGTGACCCATAGACGACTACTCTCTCACTCTAATCACAGTGCAGATGTGTTGTCACCCCTACGGACTAAGATGGAATGTCTTCTTCATTTTTTTTTTGCGCCCGAAGCAAATATGGGCAACCCTCCGGAAAGCGGGGGAGGGAGGCGGTGAATGCTCATAGCATACCACGCAGCCGGCTGCGTGGTTATGTGGAGACTTTTACCCACTAAACACCGCCTTTTAGGAAATGGCTTAACGATCTGACTAGAGATCTCTAAGCCGTATACGAACGCGACCCTCCTTGGCAGAAAGGAGGGCGCAAGCTTGTTCATAGATTAGGTACTGCATATATACTAGGTCTCGTTTCTAGTAAAAAATAGGTTCTCTATAGGCAACGCCGTCTTAGGCCATACCAGGGCCCTTGGGCACACAAGAATTTGGGGCCCTGTTGGAAAGTAAAAAAGTAAATGACAAAAATATTTTTCTGCTATGATCATACATTTATTATAGTTAATTGACAAAATAGACAAAATATTGGATAGTGTAAGCGGATAAGGTTGGTGCCTTTCGTCAATGGGCCCCCCTTCACGATAGGGGCCCTGGGCACGGGCCCCGTGTGCCCTTATGGTAAAGACGGTACTGTCTATAGGTACTTCCCATACGAAACACAGCAGCACTAGGCTGCTTTTTTATGCTGGTATTATGTGAGCGGGACGTCCTTACTCGGTCTAACCGACCCATAGCTGCCACAACCGGTAACTGTAACATAGCTCTACCAAATTTGTCTAGTTGTCCAATGTTGGATGGGGAAGAAACGAATTATGGACGACAAACGCGGTCAGTTCAACCGATCATTCCAACTGATCAGTTCAAACTAGGTCTGTTGATATTTTCTAAAATATCGGATTTTCGATATATCGATAAATAAACTTATATATAAAACTCCGATATTGATATATTTATATTTATCGATATATCAAAAATATGATATTTTAAAAAAATATCAGCAGTCTTAGTTTGAACCGATCAATTGGAATGATCAGTTGAACTGACCGTGTGTGTCGTCCATTAAGTTTCTTAACAGTTCTCTTAACTGAGAGTTGTGGGTGATTATTCAGCCGTGCGATTGCAGTGCGTGTTGGCGGACTTCACTTGTCCACGAAATATTTTGTTACTCAGACCTGCAGGTTAACTCATGATGTTTTCCTTTATGGCGAGTACGTGGTAAATCAGCACATAAAATTGCAATTAAGATTTTCATGAGTGTCGCCGGGACTCGAACCCTCGGGTATTGTAAAAGACACGACTCTTTATTTTACTGAATTAACAATAAGTTATCAAAAATTACAGGATAGCCGCGAGATTAAAGCTGGTGACGTGTTCGCCTTGACGGCTAATGCGGAAGATCCGACGTCGCTCGGCACTTACACGTGTGAAGCCGTCAATTGCATGGGTAGAGCCTATTCCTCGTCTAAGGTACACGTTATTGGCCGCGGCAGCAAGGATGGAACCCTACGATCAAGCTCGGGGTGCGTTGATATTTATGTAATACTAACACATTCTTATTTTGAAACACATAATATTGTATCGCTAGCAAAGCAGTGACGGTAATAGATATACGATAAATATTAAAACCCAATAATGAAGTGTTAATTAGGTGCTGCAAGTATGGGCAATGCCAGGGCGTCCCTAATAAAAATAATGTCGTTATTCAAATCAAAGCAGATGCAAAAATAACATCTTTTGAAAATCAATGTAACCACCAAACTTCGGCGATTAGTCGGTGTACCGTTCCAGTACACGTAACTTATTATACAGTAACAATGTACCTTCGATAATAAATAAGTATTATTAGATCATATTAGAAAATAATATTGATGTCCAATACAAAAATTGTATTGATGTGACAGCAAAATTCGATAGTAGGAACGGGACATATGCAAAGACACCGATACAAAGATAAACATAAATTGAAATATTTCTCTTTATACTGACTAATTTAGTTACCATAAAAATACAGTCATTGTTAATAGAACATTTTCCTACACAGGTATTTGTGTGTATATTATTTAACTCTCTTTTTACTTGATTTATTTAAGTAATCTCTTTCATTACACTTTACATTTCATTTTCAGTTGCTTCTGACTACTCTATTTCTTACGTGAACGACACAGTATTTGAAATGCAAATTGTATAAATTTTTATGAGACGGAAAACAAGCAAATAACTTTTAAAACAGTGTAAATACTTGCTATTTATATATATAAAAAAAACTAACATCAAACATTCTTTTCTCCCTATAAATTTTCAGCACTTAATTAACACTTAATTCTTAGGCACAGGTGTGAACGGCATTTTTTGTTCTATTGATAAGGTAATGGTGGTCGTGGACATAGGGTCCAGATAATATTCCCAGAATAATATCTTAATCAGTATTGGGTCTCGATAATCGCTCAACATTTAATTAGTAGATACTTAATTCCTTGATATTAATATTTATCTATATGTCTATGTGTGATATTTATCTGTTTGTCAAAATCCGTATCTTATGTCAAAATACCCCATATGAGGCAATCTATGGAAGGCGTCTATGTTCAGCAGTGGAATTTTACAGGGTGTGATGATGATGATGACACTGGCCAAAGTAAAACCTTACGAGCCCATTACCAAAGAAAGAAAAAGTTAGTTCTTTAAATGATATATTGACATTCTTGCTCGACTCTGATCTGCTTTTCAAATGCAGTAACGTTGACATTGGTGTGCACACAAAAACAGAAAAATAAGCATTCTCTTGTCTTTCTCATTTAATCACGATACAGTCAGACAAGGAAAGTAATAAACTTGTGTTTTGGGATAAAAATGGTTTCGGTTCTAACATATAGTACTCGAAAACCGAAAGTCCAGTATATTGAACTATAAACGATGTGATCCTCAGTCTTTGTAAACCTACTGTTGGATATTCTATGAATGGTCAGGCTTCAACAACTAGAACTATGCAACTTGAAAGATTTGCATCACATTTTTTTATACACAACTTTGAATAATGTTGGCTGCCTCGGGCGACTGTTGATCATATTCATCAAGGGTTCGAATTCCGGGTCGTGCCAAAATTAATTGTTAGGCTTTTCTTTCAAGAAATTTTCAGCCGCGTGCCTCGGAAAAGCACGTAATGCCGTGTTGTATAATCTTATGTTATATTGACTCATAATAACTTAAAATGATATTATCTGCCATACAATATATATATATATATATATATATATATATATACATACCACATAAAGTATACGTATGTTGTGATACAGGGGAGTGTCTCCAGAGCCGCCTCCGATATTTACGAAAGAGTTACAGGACCAATTTGTGAAAATTTGCGAGCCCCTGACAATGAGTTGCCACATCGTGGTGCCGCCATGGCCACGTAGTGTAGTGTGGTACAATAAAGAAGGAAAAATTGAACCAAGTGAAAGGCAAGTCAAGTGTATTTTATAATGTAAAAATAAGTGTTTAATAATAGATATTGTATGCGACTTTTAATTACAGATATCATGTGATAGAGGATGGTGTTGGGGGATATTTATTAGAAGTACCCTCTGCAGAGTGGCCGGATGAAGGCGAGTGGAAATGTGTCGCAACTAGTACGGGGGGCCGCGTCGGTATATCCACCTGCTACGTCACTATGGACGGTACTTTTTGTTTTCGTGTACATTCTCTAATACTTCTGATAGCCCACAATAACTGTTCACCATCAAGTGTTTTTTTTTTAAATTTTTGATATATATATTCTTACTCCTGCACCACACCTTATAAGCGATGTATTATATTATCATTATTTCAAATACTACAAATTCGGACAAATAATCAAATGGCCACTCAGAAAATGTGTTAAGATTTTGCCGATTTCTATAATGTGTTTAATATAGTGTGTATTTATATTGTTTTCAGTACCAAAGAACTTTCGAAAACCTCGTTTTATGGAGAATTTACAGGCCGTGCTCACGGAAGAAGGACTTGTGTCATTTGAATGCAAGGTTGTTGGTTTTCCTACTCCAGTTTTAAGCTGGTTTAAAGACGGTCAAGAATTAAAGCCAGGAGATGTATATCAGTTGACTGGTACAAACTCCTTGGGTTCTTATTGTTGCATAGCCAGAAATTGTATGGGACAAGCGAACAGTTCGGCGGAACTTACGGTGGAAGATATTCAGAATCAACTTAACGAAGAAGAAAAGCTTCAGTTATTCTCGAAAAATCAAGCACCGAAGTTTCTCCAGGGGTTAAAGAGTGTTGAAGCGAAAATCGACGAACCATTCCGTTTTACTGTTAAAGGTACGATAAAATCTTTAAACTACAATGTATATAACGCAAAGTATAGTTTACATTATGTTCTTTATATACAAAAATGGCTAGAAAAATCGGTGTTACATGTTTCCGTAGATTAAGTAAAAAGCATATGTGTATACAATTTAAAAAATGTAAGTATTTAAAAAGTTTTCTCACATTAAGAAATTCTTTAGTATCGCGAAGGCCTTTTTCGGGCGTAAATTGAACATTGGTGTTTAATAATAGGCCCTTACTTATTAAATTGGCGTTTTGTACGGGAGGAATATAAAGTATTTTTTTTTGTAAAATATATTTAATTAATCAAAGTATGCACTGTTGCTATCTATGCACTTTTGCCATCTCATAGGTAGTTCATTGGTTCCTTTACTAAAAAAAACCATGGGGGCGAAGATCATTAAACTTTTTGAAGGCGGTTTGAACTGTCGCATCGGAGTTGAATTTTTTTCCTTGTAAGAAGTTGTCTAAATTCCGGAAAAAATTGTAATCCGGTGGAGCAAGGTCCACGAAGTACGGTGGATGTCGCAGACATTCCAATTGTAGTTCATCTAACTAAGTGGTTGTTTGTGGTGCAGTGTGTGGTCTTGCGTTGTCGTGAAGCAGCAGTTGCATAGAGCGATTGACCAATCTCGGTTGTTTAGCAGCTAGTTCTTCCTTCATGGTTTGCAGTTGCTGACAATAGATATCTGCTGTAATCATTTGGCCAGATTTTAGAAATCTGTAGTGAACGACACCGGTGCTAGTCCACCAAACACTCACAAGTAATTTTTGTGAGTGAATTTTCGTTTAGGGCAGGATTTGGCTGGGTCTCCAGGGTTCAACCATTGCGACGAACGCTTCCGATTATCGTAAAGTATCCACTTTTCATCACAAGTAATGATTCGATTTAAAACCCCTTCATTTTTGTGTGTTTTAGTGTTTTGTGATGGACTTTAATTCTTCACTTTCCACTTTGATCTCCGGCCGTCCACGGGGTTGGTCCTGAAGGTCGAAATTTTCAGAACGTAAACGTGTAAACCAAAAACGTACCGTGCTTTCTTTTACGATACCAGCGCCGTAAATATCATTAATCCTTCGAGCTGTTTCTGTAGCACAGTTTTCAAAACTCAAATGTACCAGCTAAATGAATTTATAAATTTGAATTTGTAATTCTTAACCAAAGAGGAGATATTTCAGATCAAAGTGGGTCAGTACGACAAAACGCTAATTTCATATGTAAGGACCCAATATATAAATAGGTACGTATTTCTTGTAAGATACAAACCCGTCAGCGCCGCACAGTAAAACGCATAGATAAATTTAAATTCGGTTTTTAGGTTTCTTTTACATAATATAACTTAAATTTAAATTACTCTATTTAAAGAATTTTTGTTGCTTATTCTCATTTACCGAGAAATGTCAGAGTCCTGGGACCTCTTTTTAAAGAAAATTACAATATGCTATGCAAGTAAGCTATTTACTTACGTGGTATAACAGGAACGCGAACGATGAAAGCATTATACCCGTATTACCCTGTTTTTTTTTTAAGAACAATATATGAAGGATTTAAATTTGTTTGCTCGATGTCTAATAATGGTTCGGAAGTGTAAGTCATTTTAGAAGGTTTTAAAATAATTTACGAAAAAAAGTGGTGGACCTATACCTAGTTTGTATCGTAAGATAAACACAAAAACCGATATAAAGAATAGGTTTAATCCACGAAATCTTACGCGCTGTTTTCATTACCGTGTGTTGTGTAATCATAAAATAGTAAATTTAACTTGCCAGGACTCAGGCGAGACTAATTTTAACTGTGGAAGAAGTACAATAGGCGCGCGAGTTGAGTTCAGAGCTTAGGAATGCTCTAGTGTTGTAACCTAATTGGTAATTCATTAGTGATGTGACGAGTAGATCACTCACCTTCGATTTGCCGACGATATGGTCCTTATGGCAGAATCGGTGGGGGACCTAAGCACTCAATGACCTCAATAGTGCCTCCCAACGGCTAGGTCTTAAGATGAATATGAACATAACAAAGATCATGTGTATTGTACATGTCGCAACTATACCGGTAGGTGTTGGGTGCACTCCACAAGCTCGAAGTTGTTGACGAGTATGTTTACTCGGGATAAATAGCCCGACTACGTAAATCCAACTAACAGGTCAATCGACAGATTCAACTCGGCTGGGCAGCGTTCGGGTAATTACCAAACCTCAAAACCTGAAAACGAGACTGTACAATCAGTGCGTGTTGTCATGATGATATGAGACGTCGTCCTTTACTGCTGGCCGTATGAGGAAGCTCAACGGCGCTCAGCGAGCTATGGAAAGTGCTATGCTTGGAGGGCACGCTCTCGCCCTTTACCTCAGACTCCGACTGCGTTCTATTCGTGCGACTACTGTAGTATAGTTTAAGTTCACATTTTTTTGATAATTAATTAAATGTAATCTTTAATTTGCAAATTAAATATCTGTCATACTCGTGTAATCGAATCTCGATTCGGTGGTGTATAGGTAGGTATGTATGCGGCGCTGCGGTGTTTGCATCATTTGATCGCTTGCAATAAATTGTTACGAGTCTCAATGTTGTAAATGTGTAATTTTATGTTTGTAAAATACCTTCATGATACTTGTTAAAATCCTAGTGTAGTGGTAACTTTTTTAACATACATAAACACTTACGCCTCTCACCCAGAGGGGTATGCAGAGACTACGAACTTCCATTTGGCATGAACCTGACACACCTCTCTCGCCTCCTTTACATTCATATATTAACGCATACACGCCCGTCGGTGAAGGGTACTCCTAATCTGGCTACTTTTTAATATATCGCCAATTTGGTCGATAAACCTTCATCTAGGGCGTCCTTTCTCGACTCTACGGTTCACATCTGCAATATAAATTTATCACTCTTTCTGGTTCATTCTTTCTAATTGATCAAACAACAAAAGCATTCCTTTCTTAATCCTGGTTAACAACATCATCTTGCAAACCACACTTTTTTCTTATCATAATATTTCTCACCCTGCCATCCAGATTCAGCTCTAGCATAGTCCTTAATGATCGCATCTCTATAGCATTATTCTACTCTCGTGCTTTTTTTATTTTGTTTAAAATTATGTAATAAAATGTAGGTTTTAATCTTTTAGTGATTCACAACTTTTTTTCAAATTGATGAGTGACTTTAAAATGCTAAGTGTCAAGGTATTTAAAGTAACCGATAGAAATGCAGCATTACAAATATCGGTGGCTTGTTTGCATCACTTGTAATGCAATTAGATTTACCATTTTTGTATATTTGCCCTTCGAAACATTTTGTAACATCGTTCTTGTGTTATTTTTTGTTTTAGTTGCTATTCCACCTGAACCATCAGTACTCTGGTACAGAGATGACCAACCGGTAGATGATTCTAAGCGCTGTTATCTTGGCAAAGAAGAACGTGGAATATTCTACCTTGACATTCAAACTCTGGAATTTTTGGATCAGGCTGAATGGAAGTGTGTTGCTATGAATGACTTTGGACACAGTGTTACATCATGCTTTTTAAAGCTGATTATACCTCGGCATTACAAGAAACCCCGTTTTTTGGAAAATTTACAGGCCATTTTATCTGACGAAGGGGCTGTTAACTTAGAATGTAAAGTCATAGGAGTGCCTCAACCGGTTTTAAAATGGTATAAAGATGGAGAAGAACTTAAGCCAGGCGATATTCATAGAATTATATCTGGTCAAGATGGTACGTGTTGTCTTGGAACTTACACATGTGAAGCGCAAAACTGTATGGGTATTGCAGCAAGTTCAGCTTCACTGTTAGGATTTGACGATTCTATGAAGATGAAAGGAAAGAAAAAAACTGACGAACAACCTTTACAAAGAAATCTTTCTCTCAGTACTATTCACGAAGAACGAACATCTCAAATGTATGATACACCAGTAGGAGATATAACTTTAGACGACAAAGGAGAAATTTCATTTTCTTTTGATGGAAAGGAGGTGTCTGTGTCACTCTATGAGACTCCTGATTTAACAGAAGAAGAAGCACTACAAATTGTTGAAATGTATGCCGATCAACTTTCTGAAAATATAACGGAGCATAACGTTGTTGAGCTTCCTCCACTAAGGTTCGTAAAAGAAACGTCTACCTCTGGTAATTTGTTAATGGAGGCAATAATTATAGATGTTTCTCCTGAATATTTTACAACTCCTGAAGAAGATCTTAGAACTGAAGCGGATATTGAAGATATTTCTATAGCTGATGAAAACGGCCCCCCTCAACTATCTTTAGATCACGAACTTAATGAAGAGGGCAATTTAGAAAAAAGGAATGTATTAGTATCAGATGAACAAGTTGATGATCATCAACATTTGAGTAGGAAAAAATCTGATTCACAAAGAAGTGGTGATTACTTTAGTTTTTCCCATGATCACTCGCTCTCAGATGAAAAAAGAGACGATGATACCCAACTATTATCTGAAAGTGACCTACAGAGTTTTGCAAGTGCCCATAGTTCTGAAAAACCAAAATCATTTAAACCATCTCCAGATGAGGGCCCTGAATCATCAGAGGTTACTAAGACCACTATATACAAGGGTGAAATTGGAAAAAATTACACAGATCAGGAATCACGTAAATTGAAACGTGAAAGAAGAAGCAGCTGTAGTTCTAAAACATCTAGTTCAGGGAGTGAAATATCACATACAAAGTCAAAAGGACAGTTTTTACAAAAATGCGAGAGTGTAAGCCAATCATTATCCCGACACAAGGACTTCGAAGAAAAAGTAATCGCTATAAAATCAACTTTAGGTATTATCAAGAATGATTTACAAATTTTAGAAAAAGATATTATTTTAAAATCTGAGTTAATGTCTTCAGTTGCTACAGCATCAAAAAGCTTAGAAATTATAAATAGTTTGTTGACTCCTCTATCTGAAATACACACTTTAACCGAAGCAGCCATTGAATCAATAAATGAAATTAATAATGAGAATAATAATATCTTTAAAACTATGCCAGAATCATTAAGATCGCTTCAACAATCTCTTACAGTAATAGAAAAATGTATCGACATTGAAAGTGAAAATAAAACCCTTGTAAAGAAGACTTGCATATCGTTAATGGAAAAATGTGGGGACCAAATGCAAAATTTAATGTCAAAAATTACATCTGTTACCTCTAATAACTGTTTTAAAATGGAGGACAAAACGTTGTGTGACATACAATCTCTAACATATGAAATAAATAATATCCTTAATTTTACAGCTGATACTATTAAAACTAGGAAGTTACTAATCGAAGCAAGTGAATTGCGTGTTGATGAATTATCCAGTGATGTTAAACATTTAAAGGATACTCAAAAAGGTATATATGAATTAAAAAGACCTGTCATGTCACTACTTAACATTGTAGAAAATGCGGAGAAGTGTGAAACAGGTATTTTGACGGTAAACAGTAGTTCTGTTATCCTTGCTGATATGTCTGCGTCAATTCAAGATTTGCAATCGGCGCTAGAACAAATAGAATCTTTATCAATAAAGGAATCAGCAACAGTAATTACAAAATACAACACGGAAATAATAGATGCTGTTATGAATTCTGTACTAAAATTAAGAAGTTCTTTTGAACATCTTTCGCTGGAAAGTAAAAATATTGATGATAGTCTTATGTTAAAGCAAAATCTAACTTTAGTAAAAAGTAATCTCAATGACATTTTTTCGCAATTAAAGCTGATTGAAAATAATATTGGGTGTTTTGATATATTGCAAAGTGAAAATAAGTTAGAAGCACTACAAAAAATGGCTCAGGTTTTAATTGCATTGGAGAATAATTTACCTAGACTAGAAGTAATCCCTAATTTAAAAGTTTCCATGAATTTATTTCACAAACAATTGACAAGGATATTGGAAAACGTTATTGAAAGTAACGACGCAGAAAAGTATTTTGTCCTTATGGAAATATGGGACGCACTTAAGAGGGTTAATAGTTCAATATATGACATAGACTCTCAAAGCGAATTATGTTTAGCTAGTATGAGTAACTCACTGAAAATAATAAAAGACTGTGTAGATAGAAATCTTTTTGAATCGGAACTAAACAAGTCTATAATTACTAATATGTCTGATATTCTCATTTGTATTCAAGAAGTGTTAAACCAAGCTGAAAATGAAAGTTTAAATATTAAATCTGAATATATTCAACAAGCATCTGAACGTGAGTTTGATAAAATGAAAGCTGATATTGTGATGGAACAAATTGATAAAACTCTAGCAGCTATTGCCGTGGTTACATCTCATCATGCTTTGGAAGAACAAGGGCCACTTTTGCCTGTTATAGAAAGTATTTGTCCACTTTTAGAAGAACTTAAACACAGTGTGGCTTGTGTAGGACTAAGTGGAATTGAACGCGAAGAACATATTTCAGAGATTACTGAAAATTCTTCTCAAGCAACGGAAACCTTAGCGAAACCTCTTTGCGAACTAAATCGACATATTTCAATTCTCAATGAAATTATATTAGAAAATCCTGAAAGTTTTTCTGAAAGTATTCAGCAAATTTCCGCATTTGCTCAGCCACTTAACGAATTATATAAATCTCTAGAAACATTGCAACACAATACTATTTCGCAAATTGGGTATGATTTGTCACCTTATGACTTAAATAAAAACGTTGCAAATGCAGTTCAAAATTTATATAATACAACGCTGATGATACATGAAAATATTGGGATGGAAGCTGTTGATGAAATATCAACTCTTGAAGATATTTCGGGTATAAAAACTATGGCAGAAACTAATCTTTCTGATGTTCTCTTATTACCAATTGTAAATAAAACTAAGGTTCAACAATCCTTAGAATTCATGGATAAATTCAAGACGTCTGCTGCTGCTCAAGCGTTGCACATACTTAATAAACACATTATAAAAATTCAAAATCATGAGGTAATGAATACACTGGAAGCTCTGTCGAAAAAAAGCCAATATTCTAATTTGAGGTCATTTGTGGAGGGCTTATCGAATTTGCACGCTAAGATTCAAGAAAATTTAAGTCCTATAGAAATAAATGTTTCACAAGACTTTATAAATAATACAAATACCTCCACGTTAGTCCCCATAGCAGAACTTATGCTTGAGCTTCAACAGTGTTTATCTTTAGTAGATACTAGTAACATTCCAATTTTTGAGGATATTTTAGATATTTCACCAGACACAATACATTCCGTTTTTCAAGGCATAACCGAATTTAAAACCCATTTAGAAGCAAGTATTCAAATTTTACTTCCTGCTTTGGAAATTGCAGATAAGACAGTAAACATATCTTATCACATTGAAACACTAAAGGAGTCATGTGTACTATTAAGTGATCTATTAATATCTGCTAAAATTAACTCTAATACTAGTCTCATTGCCAAAAATATAGAGTCCTTAGAAGTGGACCTTGTAAATTTTTTGCATTCTTTTGATATTTTAAAAGGGATTAATGTTAAAAATATTAAGACTATTGTTGAAGATATTTATGAAAATCTTTTGATCATTCAAGAAGAAATCGTACCACTTATATCATCGGAAACAAAAGAACCGGAAAAATTTCTATTAATACAAACATTAAATGACATCGAAGCAAACATCGTTATCTTAGAACAATTTAATTTTGTTGAACTTTCAGAATCTTTAGAGTGCCGTTATAGTACTCCTTTTAATGTAATTGAATTAAAATTGGAACCACTTTATCAAGTGGAAGATATTGTTGTTAGTACTACAGATGTTTTAGAAAATTTAGAAAATAAAGGAAAAAGAGATCATTTAGTTGAAGTTGAAAAATTTATCAGAACGTGCAAAAGTGAATTTATCATCCTGCGATCCTTGATAACAAAACAACTTACGTTCAAACGAATTATGAGAATATATCAAAAAATATATTTTCTACGTAATGCTATTACTGCTTTTGATGCAAATGTGTCGAAATTTAATTTATCATATGAAACAAAAAGCTCTTTATTAAATTTTATATCAAAAGCTAATACATGTTTGAATAGTGCACAAATTTCTCTTAATAAAATCTTTGAATTTCATACTGATATAATTTATACAACACCTTTGGCAATTCTTTCTGATAACTCAAAATATCTAAGCAATACATCAGAAAAAAATATATCATCCGAATTAGCTGACATTATAAAAACATTTTTAAAGGTTGCAGAGATTGTATTACCAACGATAGAAAATGTACGTATTAACGTTATTAACGAATTAAGTAATTTTACTGAAACGGATGCAAATGAAAAAGAAATTTTAGATGAGTGGGATAAATTTGTTAAATTAACTGAACAAACATCTTTAACTAAATCATTAGGTATAGAATACAATCAAAAATTAGAAAATATGCTTTGTTGTATACAGCAGTATAATTATATAAAGGATGCGCCTGGGTCTGGAAAACAACTAATTTTACTTATGTGTATGGCGGAATGTTCGCAAATGTTAAAACAAATGAAGGAACTAAAAGCGCATGACTTTAGTAGAAAAACTCCACTCAATGAAATCTTAACAAGAATGATAATTTCGCTTAAAGCTTTTAATAAGCAAATGGGAGATTCTGAAAAAAGTAGTATTTTGGAAATTAATATAATAAATTCCATGAACTTAGAATCTACAGAACCTTCCTTTGAAACTTTGAATGTAATCTGTGAAGATTTAAAACATGAAATACAAATAGAAGCATTTGCAGTAACTGAGGTAGATAAAAGTTTAATGTCTGAAATATGTAAAGAAATAGAGTTAATTCAAAACAATTTGCAATCTTTAGATGAAAAGAGAGTAAAAGATATGATAAAGACTTTAAATACAATAGGAAAGTCGCTTAATATCATTTTGTCTTCGGAGAAAGAAGAAAATGACAAATATATTTTAAAAGGTGAGTTCTTTAATGTTTCATCATTGTCTAAAAGTCATTTTTGTCACTTCAGTTTGATAAAAAAAGAGTAATACAACATATACTACTACGTAATACTTAACCACGGCAACTCCGCAACCTATCATTGCCCATTAAGATGAGCTTACCATGCTCACAGAAAGTTCAAACTGGGTCCACTATGCGATGGTATGTAACGTTGCTTCTATTAGTTTACACGTGTAATCAAGCTAATAATATCAAAGTGCTGCATTGACAGATTTCCTTACTATATGTGGAGTAATATTAAAGTAAATATCAAACACTTTCATGTCAAATATTTCCTTATTCATAAAATTACTTACTAAAAAATAAGGCTTTTCGTAACTTATAATAAAAAAAGTAAAATGAACAGTACAGAGCTATTGCAGTTTTAATGTAATTTTTACAAAATATTTTACAATTTTCGTTTCTTTTTTCAGCTAACTTCGAAAAGCTTTTGAATCACCTTGTTCAGTATATTGATTTAATTGAAAATTTACAAAAAATACCTGAAGTAATCAAGATTGATAACTTAGTACCGTCTATGAATTTAGCAAAAGAATTACGTACGACATTCGTGAAAAGTATCAGTATTAGTGAAAAAGTAAACGATGTAAATAGTTTAAATGATATGGTTAAAAATGCAGATAAGCAAATACACAGTTTACAAGAATCATTGTCTATGCTTCAGGTTCAATTGCTTGAACACTGTAGTAATGCTACGTTAAATTTTGAAAAAGATGATTTTCAGCACGCTATGGAAGTGGTTTCGGATCTACAGAAAGATTTGTTAGTTATATCAGCGGGACAAACTATTATAAACATCTCTAATAATGGTATCGATAATAACGAGTTAAATAAAGACACTGCTATTATAGATAATCTTCAAGCTAGATTGTTTAATGATAAAGCAATAAAAGACAAAGAAATATCTCCAATATTGGAGGGTGCTGTAGATGAAAAGTTTAAAAATGAGTTTAAACTATTAGTATATAAAGACAGTGAAGTCCAACCTAAAATGAACAACGTACAAAGAGATGAAATCAACTTAGGTACTCAATTTGATAACGGAAATACTAATACAGAATATTTACAGGAATGTGAAATCTTAAGCGATAAGACTCATACACAAGCTAGCGAAACTGTTATAACTAATTTAGATAAAAAAGAAAATGTAGATACGTCAGAGAAGAATACTGCAAATGTGGCAATAATTTTGGGTACTGGAATTGATTTTTTAATAAAATTAGTATACATTTTAAGCGTTAGAAAATATTTTGTACTTATAAAATACGACTTACTAAGCTAATAATATATTTTGTTTTAGGTGAATTAGTTAATCACCTTGAAGAATTTGCTTCTTGCAGCGATGTAGTTAGTCGATTAGTTTTATTGACAAACATCACTCATCTGGAAGATTGTATGAAAACAGCAAAGGCCTTAAAGGAGAAAATTACTGAGTCGCTGTTAAGTCCAGAAAACACAGTTAGAAATTTTTTTCAAAAAGGATATATTGATAAAAACTATGCAAGTTTGCCTCAAGACTTTTATGAAACCCTTAAATTTTTGCAAAAACAAATGCATAATAAGACAAAAGAACTCTCAGTTGAGTTTGGTGATGTTAGTCTGCAACGTATGAATAATGTCTTAACTAACCTAGTCTTGAAAATACACGCTGTATTTATTTCTGAAAAAACCAACTTTGAAGAACTAAATAACAACAGGAACTTCAATATTACAACAGCATCGGAGTTTGTAGTAGAGACCTTTGCAAAAAATATTGATGAGAAATTATATTCTGAAAAATCCGTGTATGACTCTAAAACATCCCAAGAAACTGACATTATATCATCGAATGCCTCTCAACAAGGGCTTTCGACAAAAGAAATATCAGATAACATGGAAAAAAATTGTCTTAAATATATTTCAAAACTGCCAATTTGTTCTGAAGTATTAGAACAAATGGAATCAACACAAGAGAACTTACAGCAACTTCAAGTTGAGTTGACCCAAATAGTTGCTACGAGCACTGTTTGTAATGAGGAAAACGATTTAATTGTAACTAAAAATCTTGATTCCATTTTCTTTTACGAGGATACCTTAGACCAGAGTTTCAATGATAACAATAAAAAAAGTCTACCATCTTCTACCGGTAAGTTAGTTATGATTTTAAACTAAAGATACCAAACTAAAAATAAAAGTTAATATCAGTATTCAACTAACCCTCTTTGTATGTATGTGAATTTAAATGTTAAACATTTTGGCACAGTAAGTGACTTCTATTAAATAAAGATTGCGGGGTGAAACTGAGTTTGTACAAGTTTAAATATTGAAATTTCCGCAATAATTCTCTTCTAATGACGTTACATGCTATAGTGATCTTAATGAAAAATTCCCCTCGCCTAAACACTAAGTTTCAATACAGCTTTTGCAGGAGTACTCCTTACCTCCTCGACTCCCTACTACAGAGTTGTTTTTCAGTCACTATAAAGGTTCTGCTTCTCATATAGCCATTCCACTAAAGTCGAATAGTTGTCAATCTTGTTTGTCGTGGTTTCTTTTTGTGGTCATTCCGTTATAGTCATCGGTCAATCGATCAGTTACATTGTATTTACTTCTCATTACTTACTTTCCTTCTGTTAAATTAAAGTCGTTATTTTATCGAAATTTATTAAAATAAGTTTTTGATTTATTTCAGATATTAAACAAAAAGATTCTTTATATAGATTAAAATCTTTACTCCAAGAAGTTTGCAATAAAATTGATATCTTAGCTACTGTTGAGACTGCTGATGATATTGAAATTCTTCAGAATACATTGGATGAGATTCAAGCGGTAATTATTGAATTAAAATGCGATTACGATGGATCTGTAAGTGACGCTTTTAATGAAACTCTTGAAGACTTAGAGTGTAGTGTGAGGAGTGTTCAACTCCAAATACACGAAGGTAGTCCACCAGAACTGCTTAAGGAAGCTTGTGCAGCACTGCAGTTGTTGGTAACTAACATGTGTGGACTCCAAGAACTTCATCTATCTCACAATATGTCTACTGAAATAAAATTAGATAACATTCTTCAAACGTGCTCTAATGATACTGCAGCCATCGTTACTTTGTTAGATGCAACATTAGAGTTGAAGACAAGTGGTCCGAGTGAATTTAGTATTTTTATTGCTGATCTAAATACATTAAAATGCTTAATAAAAACATTAAAATCTAATTTTGATCAAAAAATGGAAACATTAATAGAAATGGGAATTGAAATAAATCAAAACCTTGATCTTGTCGAGGATCGAGTATTCACATTAGAAAAAGATGTTGATTTAAACAAAAACTTAAGTTCTAATGATAGGGATACAATTATCACTGTTATTCATTCTGTTTATGGTAGTATCTCAAATATGAGGGGTGCAATAACAAGTGTACAAAAGCAATATATGTTTGAAAATTATGGGAAACCCTCAACACTTTTTTTAAATGCTTTGAAGAATATTGCCTTAATTGTTCAAACCACCGGTGAAAGTAACTGGAAAAAAATAGCAAAATCTTTACGAAAAGTGTTAAACCACTTCGAAGACATCAAATTTTACATTAATTTCGACAAAACTGCAAGGCTTCCTAGTGATGCTGCATTTACAAAGATTATTCTTTTTGACCTTAAATCTGTAATTACTGAAGTTATTTTAGCAAATGAAACTCAATTGAGTCCAGAAATTATTGCTATCGCTAAAAATACTGCTGTTTGTTTAGAATCGAGATTACTTGATATAGAAAATCAATCACATTTGGAAGTTAAAGAGAAAATACCTATATTTCAATCTATAGCATATCAGTTACATTTATTGACAGAATCTATCAAAGATTATTTAATCGTCAATACATCTAGTCAAGACAAGGAAGGAAAAACATTAAATAAAAATAAAACAATTACAAAAAAGAGGGATATTAACATATTAGATCAAGATGTACCAAACACAGAAACAACAAATACAGATTTATCTGAACAGTCTACTATCGCTGATCCTTTAAAAACAAAATCTTTAGAGGAAAATAAAGAAGAATACTATGAATGTGATACGAAAAATTTAAGTGATTTATGGAATTCTGAAGCAGAAACAATTAAATCTAAGATAAATGTACTAGAAAATGAAAGCAATAAAAGCCAAAACTATAGTGAAATTAATAATGAAAATAGTATAAAACTTGATACTTGCCTAGTAAATGATTCCCACGAGAATACTAAAATGTATTTTGGAAAACTAGACACAAGTATACCAAACTTTGCTTTAGAGATTGTTCCTGAATCTGTCATGTCGGAAAATATATTAGAACAATCACTTTTAAAAATAGAAGAACCGAAACCGCTGGAGGCTTCTCCATTGCATGTTGTAGAAACTCGTGTTTTATACGAAGCTCAAACTGCTGTGGCTGTGTCAGATCAATTAATTGAGTTTGATCAAAAGGCAGAAGCCCCATATGAATCTGATAAGCTAGAAATTTGTGCTAATAAAAAAAATCAATTATCAACATGCAATGAAAATGAATTTACACAAAATTCTGACACTGTTACTGATCTTGTAAATAATCAAAGCTATAAGGAGAAAATGGAAATGATGGATAGTAAGCGAATTATACAACAAGAATATATACCTTCTGATAACACTCAAGTATCTGTAACAATAGAAGTACCGTGTAATAAACTGGCAGAATCTAAAGAAATTTTAGAAAATAATATTAGGGAAAGTGCTTTGACATTACAATCACAAACAAGTTTAATTACTCAAGACAATGATAAAATTGAAAACAATGAGAACTTTGAAGAGGACAAGGAGAAAAAAGATTTGGATCAATTAGGTAATGATTTGGTAAGTGAAAATGAACGAGTACAATTAAATAAAAGTGAGCCCCAAATCACTTTTAATGAATATCAAAAAAGAAAATCAAGCGATGGTCAAGATATTTTAGAAAAAGAAGAGAAAGAAATACAAGTAAAAGAAATGAAATCGGAAGAAAGAAATTTAGAGTTAGAACTAAACAAAGGAGATAAACAAATTTCTGAAGAGTGTGATACTATGATGCATAGTGAAATTAATGCAAATGTAATGCAAACAATTGACGTCTTAACAAATGATATAAAAATAGATTCGAAAAGTAGTGAATCAATGAATCCATCTCAAGATACGATTGATCAAGAAAAACCAGACGAAGGAGACCGAAATGTCTTTAGAAAATCAAAAGAAAACAAAAAACTAAAGATGGTGATGGAAGTGAAACCAGAATCAATAAAACAGTTAGCTAAGCAATCACAGGATTCTTCAGAAATTAATAATTTTGTGCAAGAGCAAGACAAAGTAATTACTGAAATAACGGTGGACAATCATAAAAGTGTGCATGTTCACATTGACAAAAATGATGATCTTACGTCAAATGACATACAGTCTAGCGATCTATGCCAAGGCATACTTAATCGTGAACGAGGTAAAATACAAACAAATGAAAATAATCAAAATGTTTTGAATATCCCTGAAAAACATGAATCTTTACAAGAGAAAGAAATTAAATCTGATGTGAAGATACAAGAAACAAAACAGTCACAATCCACTATAGAAACTAATAGTAATATAGAAGAACAAAATAAAGTACATATCACTATAGACGTTGATACTATAAAGCAAGTTGAAATTAATAAAAATGACTTGCAATCAATAAATGACTTAGCCACAAATCAAGCAATAATGCAGTTGGAAATAAGTCAATCAATCCAATCACCGAAGGATGATGATGAAACTATTATAGATAAAGTAACCGATAAAGTAGTAAAAGAAGAAAAACAAAACAAAGTATGTGAAACAAAAATATTAGTAACAGATCAACTACAAGACGCTGTTGAATTCAATATTAATTTAAAAGAACAAAATAAGGAAAATTTTGATGTAACTTTAGACAGTGATACCAGTAAAGACATTGAAATAAATAAAAGTAAATTACAAACAAATAATGGCATAGGTATAAGTGAAACAATCATACAAGTAAAAAGAGATAAATCAAACGATCGACCAGTTGATACGATGGATAAAAAACAAAATAAAATAATTGTGAAAGATGACGCTGAAATAATTTTAGATAAATCAAAAATAATCGAGGGTAAATTCAAAGAAAAAGAAATAGAACATGAAACAAGAATGCAAATAACAGGTCAGTCACAACTCGCTATAGAAACCAGTAATATAGAAGAACAATACAAAGTAAATCCCGTAATCACTATAGACAGTGAAACTGTAAAGCATATTGAAATTAATAAAAATGCCATGCAATCAATAAATGAATTAGCTACGAATGGATCAAAAATGCCGTTGGAAAGAAGTCAGTCGATCGAACCATGTGAAGATAAGGTTAAACAAGAACTATATAAAAGAAAGTCAAAAGATGATGGTGAAGTTATTTTAGATAAATCAATAGTAATCGAGAAAGTAGTAAAAGAAGAAGACAAAGTATATGATACTAGAATACTAGTACTAGAGCAACCACAAGACACTGTTGAAATCGTTAGTAATTTAATAGAACCAAATAACGAAAATATCGATGTAACTGTAGACAGTGATACCATTAAGGACATTGAAATAAATGAAAGTGAATCACAACCAAATTATAGCATAAGGATAAGTGAAGAAATCATACAAGTAAAAAGAGATCAATCACACAATCTACAAAATGACACGATGGATAAAAAACAAGATAAAAGAATGTTGGAAGACGATGTTGACATTGTTTTAGATAAATCAAAATTAATCGAGGAAAAAATCATAGAAAAAGAAATAGAAGAAGAAAGTAAATTACAAGTAACAGGGCAGCCACAAGTTACTATAGAAACGGATAGTAATATAGAAGAACAAAAAAAAGTAAATACCGAAATCACTATAGACAGTGAAACTGTAAAGCATATTGAAATTAATAAAAATGCCACGCAATCAATAAATGAATTAGCCACGAATGAAGCAAAAATGCCGTTGGCAAGAAGTCAGTCGATCGAACCATGTGAAGATAAGATTAAACAAGAACTAGATAAAACAAAGTCGAAAAATGATGATGAAACTATTTTAGATAAGTCAATAGTAATCGAGAAAGTAATAAAAGAAGAAGACAAAGTATATGAAACAAAAGTACTAGTACCAGAGCAACTACAAGAAACTTTTGAAATCAATAGTAGTATAATGGAACAGAATAAGGAAAACATCGATATCACTTTAAATAGTGATACCATTAGGCACGTCGAAATAAATAAATGTGAATCACAAACAAATAATGCCATTGCAATAAGTTCAGAGATAATGCAAGTAAAAAGAAATCAAACAAACGATCTACCAACCGATATGATGGATCAAAGACAAGATAAAAGAATGTTGAAAGATGACGATGAAATTGCTTTAGATAAATCAAAAGGAATTGCGGAAAATTTCAAAGAAAAAGAAAATGAAACAAAAATACAAGCAATAGGTAAGTCTCAAATCACAATAGAAACTGACAATAATATAATAGAAAAAAATAAAGAAAGTACCAATCTCACCGAAGACGGTGACACCCTCAAGTATCTTGAAGTTAATAGAAATGAAGTGCAATCACAGAATGACTTGGCAACAAGTGAGTCAATAATGCAATCAAAAGTAATTCAATCAATTGACCTATCACAAGGCATGATTGATCAAGAACAAGATATACAAGATGACAATATGACAAGAAAAGTAAAGGAAGATGAATATTTTAATGATAAAGGAATTGAGGAGAAATCAAAAGAAAAGGTAATAGAACAGAAAACAGTAAATGGACCAATAGAACATCCACAGGATATTGTAGTAATTAATAATAAAACGTTGGACCAAAATATCGAAAATGTTGGAATCTTGAATGTTGAAACTAATAAAAATGTTGAGCTATTGATTGATCTAAGTGACCTAAAAACATGTGAAAGTATACAATTGAAAGAAAGCCAGTCGAGCACAGCTGTTTCCAGCGAGAATGATATTTATAATTGGACTAACGAAAAGGAAAAAACTGAAAATATTTTGAAAAATGAGATTGAAGAAGATACGATAAATAAAAGCTATATTAGTGAAGAAATGGATAGTCATAAACTACTTGTGAAAAAAGAAGAAACTGAAATGCTTAGTAAATTGAAAAATTCAATTCTAAGCGTCAACACGACACTACATCAAAAAGAAATAGAAAAAGAGAGTACTAACATAAATCAACAAAATGATAAAATCAAAACGAATGACAAACATACAGATAAAGTTGTAACAAATACTGAAAAGGAAAAAGAAAGTGAAGATAAACTTCTTTTAGAGGAGAACGAAATAACAAATAAATTTTTAATAAACAATACTTTAAAATTATCAAAACAGGAACAAAGGCAAGATAATAATAAAGAAGTAAATTATAATAAAAAAGAAAGAGAAGAAATTACAAAGGAAGGACGTGAATCTAAAGCTTTTGAATCAAATAACATAAAAAGCGATTTAGAAACAATGAATTTGCAAGAAGTCAATAAAATAGCTTCTGAAGGGCTAATTATCAACAAACAAAAAGAAAAGAGTGATGAAGAAGACAAGAAAGATTTCCAACAAAATTGTTTAGAAAAACCAGTGAAAATGATTACAAAACATAAAAACCAAAATATGAATGAGAAAAAACAAGATATCTCAAAATATGAAACTGAAACAAAAAGTCAAGCAACTGGGCAGTCACATATCTTGGATATCTTAGATCAAAGTAAAGAAAATACACAGATGTTAGATGGTAATAGTTTAAACAAATCACAAGAAAAAAAGTGTGATACTATGGAATTAACGAATAATGTTAGCATTAAAGAGGTCAGTATATTGGAAAAAGAATTAATGAAAGATACAATTTTGGTAAAAGAATTAGAAAATAAAAAGAGTTATTTTGATTCTGTGGGAAGTGAAGAAACCTATTTAAATTTACAAAATGAAGCAATATCGAACATGGTACAATCGATACAGTTGCCTCAACATGACTTGAACTTACAAGAGATTGATAAAATTAATGAAACCTTGGGTATTAAAAATACTTCACCTAAGTTTTTAACTAATTTGGATGAGCTAAAAGAAGTTCAAGAATCTCCAGACCAAGAAACAATTAAGAGTAAATCAGTTAACATAGAAAATACTGATTCAGATATAGATTTTGAGGGAGGATTTCAACGGGATAAAAGTGGTGATAAGACGCAACTGGAAGATGCCACAAGCTTATTTACAGATAATAATATAACAGAGCTCACTGAAAAACATATCGCAAATGATCATGCAGAAAACTTTCGAAAAGTTTACGGCGCAGAGGAAAAGAAATTAAATAAAGCGTATGAAGTTGCTACTGAAGAAAAACAAGGAAGCACAGAAAGGCAAAATAGTAAGATTGAAGTATTGAATAATACAATCAAATCGAAAAAATGTGATAAGATACAAATTTTCGACAAAAAGCAATCATCGGAAGAAAAGGTAGATCTTTCTGAGAAAAAAATTAAAGATCAACGTGAAAAAAATGCATTTCGTACTGAAACTATTAATGACTCGTCTTTAAATGAGCCGAAGATTAAACCAGAAAATGTTGAAGAAGAAATAAATGATCACAAGGATTCCATTAAAGAATTGGAAAAACCTTTGAATGATCTAATAAATGTAAGCCAAAATAAACAAACTGAATTTAATTTAGATCAATATTCTCGGAGTAATGAGTTCTTAAGTACCATGGTAGAATGCGAATCAAAAGAAAAAAAAGTATTGATCGACCGTTCTAAGAGCGCTTCTGAACCGGTCTGCGATTATTCTATGTCAGTAATAAATATGGGACAGATTCAGACATTTTATAAAGTTGAGACAATTGCATATGATTCGCAATTACGATCATCATTACCTCCGAGCTATGAAAATACCAAAAATAATGAGACTGCGGAAAGCAATTCAAAATATAATCAAAAGTCTAAAGCTCAAAGTGAAGCTCCAAGTATTACCACCCAAAAGCGGCCTTTACGAGATGTTAAAAGAAAACCTGTTTTTTCAACACACCTTACAGATAGAACAGCAGTGGAAGGTTCTAGAGTTAAACTTACTTGCAGTGTTTTAGCTTCATCGGAACCAATCATATTATGGTATAAGAATGGTGTACCGCTCAATAATAAATTAAAATATAGAACTAAGTACATAGATGGATTAATAACAATGGAAGTTCTTAATGCAGTGCCAAGTGACTCTGCAGAATATAGATGTACAGTAGAAACAGAAAATGGATCAGTTACTACTTGTGCAAACCTAAAGGTTTATCCTAGTTTTGAAGCATCTCCTATACCACCTACGTTTACACGCTCAATAAGAGGTAAGAGTTTATTATAAACTATAACGTAATTATTTTTTTATGTACATCATCACGTATAACTACATACTGGTGGTATGTGGTTATACGTATAACCGCAACTTAAGAAACTGAGTTATATAATTAATCTATATAAAAAATCATTTTAGATACATATCATTTAGCGGAAAATGAATTAATCTTAGAATGCAGAATTAGAGGACAACCATTACCTACTATTACTTGGTTAAAAGACGATAGACCTATATCTTTATATGAACGATACCAAGCATATTATTTAGCAGATGGTGTTTGTAGATTGGTTATTAATTCTCCCTGTCCCGAAGATAGTGGGAAATTCACATGCAAAGCTGAAAATTCAATTTGGACTGACCAAATAAGTCATATAGTAAATTTTTCAGGTATTGCATTATTTTGTATTTAAATTAATATAAATGAATTATTAACTTCGAAATCGATTTTTTTATTCGATTACAGGCTTAATGCAATCGGGATCTAATTTAACGACATGGGGAAAATCTAGAATTGATCATCAAGTTATAGAAGGACGACGACCTCATTTTACTAACGTTTTAACTGATTACAAAGTGTCTAAGGGAGGAACGATTGGATTGCAAGTTGAAATTAAGGGATCTCCAACAAGAGTGGAATGGTTACGTGAGGGACGTTCGATAACTGAAATTTACAGAAATGCTGAGACATTTGTTGACCATGGTTTATATACATTAGCATTATCTGATGTAACTGAGAAAGAATCTGGTGTCTATACATGCAGAGCGTGGAGTAAGAACGACAAAGTTGACATGAATGCTGCCATAACAGTTGTCCAACCAAATGAAATTGAGGGCAAACCTGCGGTCATTATTGGCAGACCTCAAAAGGATATTGTCATATCGGTTGGTGCAGATATAAATATATCTTTTCGAGTCAACGGCGAGCCCAAGCCAAAAGGTAACTTACGTATGATTTCTTCTACTTAGAATATTACTAGTATATAAAGTTTTAGTGTGATATAGATTATAGATAGGGTAAGATGTCATACGATAAACAAAACAAATTATTTCCAATAATATTTTTATTATATTTACCAATACTTTTAGCAACTTTATATGAAGAATATTGTGGTAAAACTTTGGTACCTTTCAGAAATATTTAAAACTACCGAAATTAAAAGATTTTTTTAAATTTAATTGTAAATTCACTAGTGAGTGATTTATTCATACATACGCTCACACACACATATGGTCAATTAAACAAATCAAATTGTGATTACTTGTAGTAACTTTATTCTGAGTTGATACTAAGTTGCCGTAATACTCGCCCTGTGGTGGTGGCATGAGAGAAAGCATCGTTCCGCAGGTTTCGTAAGAGGCGACAAATACCGAAAACCTTGTAGATATCGGTATAATCATCTCTATTTATATACCATAAAGCAGATAATAAAACCAATAACGGAGACAAAAGCAGTGTTAGAGATAAGTAAACTATTATATTAAGATCACCGATCCACCTCTAAGACTGGCGAATACAGAAAATTCTCTGTACTATGAGAGTTCTACGTGAAGCAATGGACTGTTTATGGACTGGTGAGGATAAAAATGAAGGTACTACTTCATTTATTTATATAATGTTTATTAACTTTGTTAAATTAACTGCCACGTAGGTCTAGTGGTAGCAAGGGACTGCTGATCAGGCTGCTGGCTTGAATCCCGAGTCGGACCAAGATGAGTGATTGGGTTTTTCTGTCAAAAATTATTAATAGTAGCCCAAAGTCAGGAAATGGGTGGTGTTCCTTCCTTCTGAAAACATGTAATTTCGTTGGTCCTATGCTATTTCTAATCTCTTTCTGTGAGCGTTCCGTTCCATGAGCTATAAAAGTGAGGGAACAGAGAGTACACATGTGTTTGCTTTGGTACTGTAATTCTATCTTACGCTGATGATGAGTCTCCCTTGAGACATTTTTAAATAATAATTAATACATTATTGCATTTTAATTTTGTTTGCCATGCAGTGACTTTCATGAAAGGTATTCGTGACATAACAAATAGTCAACGTGTTTGTAAAATGACGTCTGATGATTACGTCAAGTTCACCTTAAAAAGATCTGTTGTTTCGGACGCTGGCACGTACTGTATATTTGCTAGAAACGCCTATGGTTGTGATAGGGCGTTTGTAACCGTTGCGGTACGTACTATGTTATAATATGTTACTTTTTCTAGAAAATTTTACATTTTAAAAATTCATTTTTTTATTTTTAGGTGAGGCAGCGCGCTTCATCTGAAAGTTTGATATCTGATTGGACTTATCCTACCGATGATTCAGCGATGACGGTTGCTAAACAACGGTTTAAATGTATGTTTGAAGATAATTACAGTAACACACTTTATCTGTTTTTATTCACGGATCTGATCCCTATGTCCTATGTTCAATTAGGTATATTTAGGTTGTAAAATTTTATATGGAAAGCATATAAAATGTATACACATATAGGTCTGGTTTTTATATTTACATTTATATCGTATTACTTACAATACATACTTATTTCCGTTTAATACGTTCGTATTAATTTAAAATATATCTCTATTCATACCTATATAGTTCAAAGTATCGCTTGGCAATACATCAAGTGCTATTAAGGTCATTACCGTGTCAATAATTAGATTTGTTTTCAGCTGTGCCTAACCGAATCCCGGGAGAGCCGAGCGTAGTAGACGGTGGAAATAACTGGGTATCCCTTGCTTGGCCAAAGCCTGATTCTCAAAGTGGGTCATCTGTGATAGCGTACAAAGTTGAGAGTTGGTTACTTGGTAAAGAAGGTGGGGCTCGTTGGACAGAACTTGGTGTAACACCGTTGAACTCCTTCGATGTTTTCAACATTAAGCAAGGAGAAGAGTACCATTTTAGAGTAACTCCAAGAAATAGGTACGGTTGGGGAGAATCAGTGCAAACAACGTCACCAATCGGCGTCGGTCTAGCTGGCGATAGACCCGAGTTTGTTGATATTCTACCCGGACAGTTAAAAGTATTGGTTGGCGAAACGGTAACTCTAAAGTGCAGTTTTAAAGGTAAACCGATTCCGGAAATTGTATGGATGAAGAATGGACACGAAATTGATGAAGAAGACAGTCGGTTAAAGACTTCTTTAAATGGAACTAACTGTTGCCTGACCATTAACGATGTTAGAATAGAAGATGAAGCAAGGTACAGTTGTGAGGCCACAAATGTACATGGAAGGTCATCAACCTACGCGAGAATTGCAGTTATCACGGACCGACTTATATGGGAAGCAGATGCTAAACTTAAGAGGTAACGTCGTTTTCACTGGTTTACTTTTGCAAATGTGACCTTAATTTTTAACTCTTGATTTACGATTATTATAAGCATATCGCGAGAGAAAAAATCTTTAAACGCTACTTCGTTGTTGATGTTTTTTATTATTTAAATTAATTGTAATACTTTTTAACTTCATAAAAAATAATGATATATTGACGGATACAATTAAATAATATTAGCCTTTCATCTCCGTTTTTTGTAGAGAGAGATCAGCAGACGTCGAAATAGGAGAATATCCTCCGCAGTTCACAATGAGATTACGTGATCGTCGAGTTCAAGCCACGTATCCAGTCCGGTTAACGTGTCAAGTTGTTGGAAGACCACCCCCTATAGTTACCTGGTTTAAAGATGGAGAGGAAGTGACGAATGATGGTAATATTAAAGTATTGACGATAAGTTACTTGCTGAACAATATTTGTCATATTTTTTTTTACTTACTATAAGTCAGTGCTTGAACACAACACTACCTGGTGGTAACTGGTGATATATTGCGTATTTGTATATCTTCTTTGATGATCTTCAAACGTACACACAAACCTTTCCTCTCTTATGATTTATTCGTAGCTTATATATGGTGGACGAAAATGAAATATGTGATGAGAAAGTAAGGACAATATAGGAGTATCTAATCAAATAGGCGAATTTTTAGTAATTTAAAACTTCCGCGCGCACTCCTTTTTAACCTTGCGCACATAAGCACGTGCCTAGTTCGCCTTGAGGATAATACGCCACTATATATAATGCACATAAAAATAATAAAATAGATTATTTAAAGTGCATTTTAGGACTTAATCTAGGTACTTACTTTAAATCTTGCGATTTTGTCAAAAAACGAAAATATTAATCCGAGTTAAATTTATTCATCTAAACGATTAACATGTATATACGAGGGTGACACTGAAAGTTCTTAAAAAATCTAAAAGTGAACAAACTAAAGAGTTGTTCGTTTTATTATGTCTTCTCAAAATAGTGTGCATTTACATCAATCATCATCGCTGCATCCGATGAAACCACTAAGAAAAGCACCACTCGTATTTAGGAGTCTCTTCGACGGCATTTTCAAACGCAGCGATTGCTTCCTCGGCGTCCATAACACATTTTCCTCGAAGTTTTTCTACTATTTGCGGAAATAAAAATCGCAAGGTGTGAAGTCGGGGCTATAGGGTGGGTGACCCAGTAATTCCACGTCTGACGTCGCCAAGTAGTCGATTGTTTACTTGGCGGTGTGCGACGAGGCGTTGTCGTGGTGAAGGAGAATCCTACTGCAAATTATTAAATAAATATTTATTATTAGTGTACAACTCTGCATTAACTGTTTTTCGATACTCTAAAATAATTGTTAAATAATTGTCAAATGTTAAATAATATATAAATAAAATAATTGTGCGACAGGTCATTACCTGTCCTTCCGAAGAACGTTTTCCCACGTTTCGACCTCTCTTCACTTTAGTTGGCAACTCCACGGAAGGAAACACCCAGATAGCAGACTGTCTCTTAGTTTCAGGATCATAACAATAAATCCGGCTTTCGTCGCCTGTAAGTATGTCGAACACAGCATTTGAGTCACCTCCGTTAAATGTTTGAACCATTTCACGACACCAATCAATACGCCGGAGTAATTGGGCCTCTGTCAAATTATGAGGTATCTACCGGGCACAAAGCTTCCTGACCGCTAAATGTTCATAGTGGATTTTGTGCACTTGACTCTAATCGATGCGTAAGCTTGTCCGAATCTGCTGATAAGTCATTCTTTTGTTAATCTCTATCGTCGCTGCAGAGGGCCGTCTCTCACGCAGATCATCGGTGAGATTAGTCCGACCACGTTTAAACTCATTAAACCAGTTGTGAACTGTGGCACGAAATGGGGCTTTATCGTGAAAAGCGAAGTTTATCATAACTTTCTTGTTGACTTAAATGACATCTAAAGTCATTAAAAATCATTGAACTAATATTTTTCACGTTAAATTCATGCTGACGTGAAACAGATAATTTTCAATTTGCTGCCAAATGGTACATAAATGACAAATTAATAAAATACGTATTATACACAATAACATTAGCAAATAGTTCCATTTTTACAAAATTTGAACTTATTTTTTTATTATATTGTTTACAAGTGGCCAGTTCTAAAATTTTTCACTGTCGCCCTCGTAATACCAGGTCATTAGTCATTACTCAATCGATGGGTGCAGTCGGCTCACGACCGTGGTTTGTAGATTTGATAAATTACACTAACTTTTTTTTATTACATCTGTATTTTATAGCACGCCATACGAAATTCCAAGACGAGCTCTTCTACACATTGGAAATTGCGCCCACAAACCTTGAAGACGGAGGTGTGTACGAGGCGACGGCACGCAACAACAGTGGTGCTATTAGCTGCCACTGCAACTTGGTAGTGGACAAAGGCATTAGAGCTTACGTAGCGCCGGAGTTCTGTTGCGGTCTAGAACCACTTTATGAAGTTTCTGTTGGTAAGGAATGAATGTTTAATAATAGAGATAAGAGGCGACAAATCTCTGTGGCATTCTTAGTTTAAAGTTGGTTCCAGATGCTAAGAATTGCACTTACCACAAGTTCATTCGTCACTTCAATTAAAAAAAAGTAATAAATGTAGTTAAAAATACAATTAAATTTGTAGATTTTAACAAGAAAGTAAGCTGTTTGACTTGCATTACGTCCAAAGCTTTCCTACTCCATTAACCTATCAAAAATGGCAGATGGCCTGTACTCTGCAAGTGGCCGTCTGTTGACTGTGATGGTTATCATTCAAAATCATGATTGCCTTCTGAAAGTATTCAAAAAATAAGATAAGATTGAGAATAAGAAAAATAAGATTGAACTATTTAAATAATTCAATTACTTAAATTTATATATATATATATATATATATATATATATATATATATATATATATATATATATATATATATATATATATATATATATATATATATATATATATATATATATATATATATATATATATATATATATATCTATTTTATATATATATATATATATATATATATATATATATATATATATATATATATATATATATATATATATATATATATATATATATATATATATATATATATATATATATATATATATATATATATATATTTATATATATATATATATATATATATATATATATATATATATATATATATATATATATTTATATATATATATATATATATATATATATATATATATATATATATATATTTATATATATATATATATATATATATATATATATATATATATATATATATATATATATATATATATTTATATATATATATATATATATATATATATATATATATATATATATATATATATTTTTATATATATATATATATATATATATATATATATATATATATATATATTTATATATATATATATATATATATATATATATATAAATATATATATATATATATATATATATTTATATATATATATATATATATATATATATATATATATATATATATATATTTATATATATATATATATATATATATATATATATATATATATATATATATTTATATATATATATATTTTTATATATATATATATATTTATATATATATATATATTTTTATATATATATATATATATATATATATATATATATATATATATATATATATATATATATATATATATATATATATATATATTTATATATATATATATATATATATTTATATATATATATATATATATATATATTTAAGTAATTGAATTATTTATATATATATATATATATATATATATATATATATATATATATATATATATATATATATATATATATATATATATATATATATATATATATATATATATATATATATATATATATATATATATATAGGTATATATATATATATATATATATATATATATATATATATATATATATATATATATATATATATATATATATATATATAGATCTCTTTACGGTAAATGTTGATCAGACGCGACTTCACGCGAGCACTTTGTTGATCCGAAAACGCATGTTGATCCGGCGCCTTTTTTTGATCCAATATGCATCTCTGGTAACTAATGTGGCTCCGACCGGATCAACATCTGCACTCACGAGACTGTTTGCTAGCGTTGGCCGAAGTTGATCCGATATACAAATCCACCTTGCGATGGTTACGCAAAATGTTGATCCGATTTAAATGAGCCAATCAGAGCACAGCAAACGATAAGATAAACGATCGGATTGGCCGAATGCAGCTGCGACGTTGCCGTTATCTTTGGCGGTACAATCTACAGATTAAATGCGTGTTATGTAATGCATTCAGGGTGCTGTTTGGTCTACCTCGTTATTTTAATGCGCCGGGTATATTCGCGGATGCGCGTGTGGATTGTTTCTAGACCACCATGGGTAAACGATGCACATCCCTGGTGCGCAGGGTGCGGGCCAGTTCCAATGGTATCCTGAGGGCATTTTCTGACAGGTTTGAGGTCAGTACCTGAACCATTGTCATATGGTGCACGCGCTGACTAATCGGGCCTGTCTTATATATAGTTTTAAAATTAGGTAAATAGTTTTAAGTTTTACGAAAATTAGTTTTAAGATTTGTATTATTACTAACATCTATGATCCTTGTGGTCGAAATTAACGACTTTTTTTAACGAATTACTCGGCAACGCCCCTTCTTGTAGCGGAAGTGGTGGCAACGGCGACATAAGGTATTCGTCTGAGTGCATGTTTGCGTGCGTGCGTGCGGTGTGTGTGTGTGTGTGTGTGTGTTTGTGTGCATATGTGTGCGTGTGCGTGTGCGTATGTGTGCGTATGTGTACGTGTGTGTGTGTGTGTGTGTGTGAATGGGTGTGCGTGTGTGAGTGTGTGTATGCGTTTGTGCGTGTGCGTATGTGTGCATGTTTGCGCGCGCTTGCGTGTTTGTGTGTGTATGTGTGTTTACCATAAACCAGTTAACATGTTTTCTACATCTTCATAATCAAGATTTTTAAGGACGCTTTTACAAAATTGATAGGTATAGACCTTACCTCCGGTCTTGATGGAGTGACCTGAAAATGTAATTCGGGATTACTAGTGGAACTCCTGGACTAGTAGAACTGGGTGTGCTGAGTTTGGGCTCGTTTTGTTAGTTATGATGAGTCCTTACCTCCGGACTTGCTCAAGTGACCTGAAGGTGTACTTCGGTAACTAACACTGTAACACCTGGACTAGTAGAACTAGGTATGCCGAGTTTGGGTTTGTTTTGTTAGTTATGATGAAACCGTCACAAAATAAAAGTTCTTTTCACTTTGTCTCTAGTACCAATAAGTATCCAAGCTGATATTCGGAAAAATGAATAACCTCGTAGTAACATCTTTAGGGGCAGTATCGATATCCACTTACCAGCCACACTGTTTTTCGCTGTAACCAACTGTCCTTTATATGAGCCTCACTTGCCACCACCTCTGCCACCTACACCTTCACATCAACCACCACACCCCTCTCTAAGCCTTCGTTCTCCACCTCCGCTACCTCTGCCTCCACCATAAACTCTGCTCCATACGCCTCAACAATAAACTCCGCTCCCTCCGCCGCCACAACCACGCGCCGTCACTATTCTTTCCGCCTCCAACACAATTCCCCGTTTCCACTATCTCCGACTTCACCACAAATTCCTCTCCTCCTCCTTCGCCACATACTACGCTGCATTCACCTGACACACACACATACACACACACACACACACACACACACACACACACACACACACGCACATCTACACACACACGCACACACACACACACACATACACAAACACAGACCACAAACACACACACACACACACACATACAAACACACGCGCACGCACACATACATACAAGAGCGCGCACGCTCACACATACACATACGCGTGCGCGCGCACACACACACACACACACACACACACACACACACACACACACACACACACCCGCACATACACTCACACACACGCGCGCGCACGAACGAACACACATACACGCATAAGCACATACACAAACACAAAACAACAGTGGACACACGCACGCACACACGCACACACTCGTACCCACACACAAAAGCAAACACACGCACGACCGCACACACACACACACATACACACACACAGGCGTGCGCACATACTAACACACACACGCACACGAACTAAAAACACAACAGTGCACACTCGCACACATACACTCACACACACGCGCACGCGCATGCGTTCACACGAACACACATGAACGCACATACACCCACACGCACGTGCACACACAAACTCGCATAGCACACACACACACACACTCGAGTGACAAATTAATTTGTAATAAAGTACTATCCATCATCTTCTAAGTGATCTATGACAAATAAATAAAATAACACAAATTCACTCACACGATAACAAAAACTCGAACAAACGTCTTTCCACAATAAAACCTGCCAAAGTTTGATCCACAAAATCAGCAGATAACGTATTTTCTTACCTTATTACTATAACGAAGTAGCCTACTGGGTTCTCTGTAACACACAGAACGCGACGTTGCCGCTTCGTGTTCCAGTACCTAATCGTCAATTATGGCTCCGGATCCACTTAGTCTAAGTAAATGTCGCATATAAATTAAATGTACTCGGGATCTAAAAAATCATATTCAGTATGATTTTTTCGACCGTTGGTAGATCAACAAATGTTGGTCAAATCGCTGACGAGTATATTGAAATCCTGTTAGTGCAGATCCACCGACGTCACAAGCGCATCAAGAATGGATCAAAGTATATCAGTTTGTGCGACGAGGAGCTGAGCAAACACGTCAAATAGGTGGATCAACAATTGTTCTAACTTCTCACTGGATCAACATTTACCGTGAAAGGATGATTATATATATATATATATATATATATATATATATATATATATATATATATATATGTATATCACTTCCTTTCGTAATAGTAATAACGGAGACAGATTTATGTTGGTCAAGGTTGTTGCCAATCATCAATTTGTCTACGCGGCGATTGGGGCAAATCTTTCCTAGTTAATATACAACCTATCAGTTAATACTTGTTTAATTGTGTTTTTGATTAATAATACCGATAAATATTGTTATTGCAAAAAACCTGTTATTGACATGGAACTAGATTGAATTGTTATTCTAACAGGCTTAATGTATTATGTAAATGCCTGTATGTACTAACAATAATAAAAAAATATAAATAGTTAATTAAACATTTCCAGGTGACGAATTGAGAATATCAGCTGTGGTGGAAGCGTATCCTTCCGTTGGAGTGACTTGGTTCCGAGACGGAATCCGGCTCCGACCCAGTCGGCGCGCGGTTATGACACTGGATCACGATGGTCAGATCGAATTGGCGGTAGCGCCCATCACCCAACGTGACGCCGGTATTTATACATGCACTGCCTCCAATGAAGTTGGGAAGGCATCTACCTCGGGCAAGGTCGAAGTATTGGGTAACAGCACAGAAGAGAGGAATCAAACTATTCCAACTGTGATATGTCCTAATGTTCCGTAAGTTTAGTGGCTTAAAATTCAGTTTCTGCCCTGTACAATAAGTACAAGAAGGATTTGGTAGTAATGATTAATTTAAGTGTTCAGAATTAACGTGACAATTTTGATGCACTTCACATGCAAATTACATTGAATGTATTGCTAAACACTAATGCTTTTATTAAAAAATTAACTTTATTGGGAATATTATTTCTAGAATATGTTTGATTGATGTTTACTTCCGGTATTTTGTTTTCTGTTCGCTTATTGCTTATTTATTTTTTTATATTATAACAATACCAGTGCAAAGCCGGGCGATCCGCCCGGCTTTGCACGGTTCATTTCTGGATCCCGATAATAGCGCCACCTACCGGGTCTAATTATAAATCTAAACCATTGTCGAATCAAGTTAATCAAAACACACACACACACACACACACACACACACACACACACACACAAAATTTCATCAAGGTCGGTCCAGCCAAGGAGTTCAGTCACATACACACGGACAGAATAAATATATTATAATGTGGATTCTAAAAATAATGATGACCATAATTTGCAGATATTCAAAGGAACCGATGTTTACACGAAAACCAAGATCGAGCGAAGCTCGCGAAGGCGACACAGTTATTATTGAATGCGAGGTTATAGGTGACCCTAAACCTGAAGTTTACTGGCTTAGAGACTTTTTACGGGTAAATATCATTATTATTAATCGTCTCTTAGAGTTCATAAAACAAGATGGTCCTATATTTAACTCAATGTAGTTCTGAACCAACAGAATAGAATTTTTTTCAATATAGTTTACAAGAATTCTTATTGAAAGCCATTGCTTCTGAAAAATACCTCTATTCTGGGAAAAATCAACAAAAAACCTAGCGGGACTTTTCTTTTAAAAATAAGTTACTTTATAATATTATATTATAATATAATAATAGACAAATAAGAAAAACTTTAAATGAAACTATTTAGAAGATATTTTTGTTTTTCCTTGAGCTTGTGATAAAAAGTAAAAACTAACTTAAAAATTAAAAAGAATAAATAATTTCCACATAATATCTTCTGAAGTCGGGGATTTAATTTTTCTATATGTCTTAGGACTGATTTCGTAGACTGCAAAAAAGCTAGTAATATATAAGTCAATGCTAAACATACTAAGTGACTGAGACTGTGAAGAGTGTTTTGAGAACACCAAAGTTTAAATATACTTGATAGTCGATTTTTAATTAGTGACAACTTCTGACTAAAGCAAATTTAACGCAATAAAATCCGTATATATAGTTTTATTCAATGTGTAGTGTTCCCGTAAATTTCAGAAATCTTTAACTTCTGACTATTCAAAAGATATTATGTAAAACACACAACAAACAAAATTTCTACTGGTACCCAATGCAGCATTTTTAAATAGAAATTGTTTTTTATTCTATAGTTACAAACAATATTAATCATTCAAACACAAATACCTCTATCCTGACTTTTTTTAAATATATTAAAATTTAAAATTATATAATATTATATTGAATAATATGCTATGCAAATCATATTAAAAATAGATTGTTAGTGATTATTGATTAGTGATTTTCCCGTGGGTTATTATTATCCATGTTCGTTAGTATTTTTATCAAACTGTCCTGGAACGTTACGCCCTGTTACGTTATGTAATCCAAATAAAGTAAAGTCATCGATTTTTGATTTTTCATGAAGTTGGCTCCGGTTAAAAATTAAGACGCGTTAATTTGGTACTCTGAGCACTACTGACTACTGTACCAAGCGTCCGCCGTACGTTTTATGGTACGCGTGCAATTCGGTTTCGGTCCCTGGCGACACCAATGAAATTGTTAGTCGAAATTTTAAGTACGGATTGACGACATGCTTAGCAGTAAAGAAAAACATCGTGTAGGACATGAATAGTCCGTCAACATGCACTGGAGCAGTGCTGCGGTCCAATTGCTCCATAACTCTCAGAAATGAGAGGAAGCCTGTGTCCAGCAGTGGGACGTACACAGGTTGTACTACTTTCAATAAAAAATTACTCTATCAAGTTGTACTTTTTGTGACTGTGATACCTAATCAAATATATTTATGGAGCTTTATTGTCTGTTAATGATGTAGTTTTTATTATTTTTCAGCCCGACTATTATCGTGACGCATCGCACTTTAAACGTGTCGGCGCTGGTCCCGAATACCGGTTTGAGATACCACACGCGAAGCTCGATTACACTGGGACGTATTCGGTTGTGGCCAGAAATATATATGGTGAAGCGAAAGCGATTATATCCTTGCAAATATTGGCCAAAGGTACACTACACTTGAGTACTGCGAGCCTGGCAACAGCTTTCGCTTTTTAGTCTTTCTTTTTTCGCTTTCATTAAAAACATATGATATAAAGCGATATTTTAATGTTATCAAATATTGTAGGAATTATCTATTACAATTATAAAACATAAACAATAATTTTACAATGTAATTATTTATTTTCACCGTAAAAGTGAGACGATTGATAAGTACTATCCTTGTCTGTGTATATCTGCGTTTATCAAATTTTTACTCCGTTGCAGTTTTAATGAATATTTTTCGTTTCTTATCCTTTCAGACCCCACTTCTTCTGAAGAAACACACAACATTAAATATGGGTAAGTTTATTCATTCATATGCATTAAAAATTCATGAATGTTTATATATATTATAGAATTGAAGTTAAAACTTAAAATTTTCGATCAATTCATTACGAGTAGGTATTTGTGGTAATCACGCCGCAGTTGTATTATGTTATGATTATGAACTTAGAATTTACTGGCGTAAGTATATTCAAGTCTATGATTATGACTGTCAAACGAATAAATTGACTCGACCGAAAAGGAAGCTCTCACGGAAGAATACTAGTGAGACATCGCAGAATAATGTTACTGCGTATCGTAAGCCTAGTGATGAGAACCGAAGACCCTTTTTACTAGTTACGATACACTCTTTCTTTGATCTCAGGGGTGACAACGTATTCCGTATTTTATTCTTGATTGAGGGTATATATAGGTATACCTTTATACTATTTGCCGAATAATCTCCTTACCTTAACAGATAAAAGGATAGCATATTAATTATACTAAATATATTATGATAATTTAAGACAATAATTAATTGTTTAAATGTATGCAAAAATGTAAAAATATAAAATAATAAAAAATAATAATAAATACATCAAAAATAAGTATTGCCTAGATGAAAGAAATAATGTAAAAAAAGATAAATATATATGTATATTTGAACACACTTTTAAATCATTGCAGACGGGTTGAGGTGATTCCATGTTTTGAAAAAGAGTTGACAGATTTGCTGTCGCATGATGGCGATGCTATCGAGTTCGAGTGTCGAGTGACAGGAAACCCCGAGCCCGATATCAAGTGGTACCATTACACCGACGTAAGTGTTAAAAATTCTTTTAATATACTCTTGTAAACTTGTAATTGCTGTGGTACAATGGTTTTTACGTGATAGAGTCACACTGCAGCTATATTCTGGTTGCAGCACTAATACATCGGCTCGACCGGGGTAGAACAACGTTCATACAGAATATCAGCGTAAAATAGCAGCCTAGTATTGCTGTGTTTCGTATGGTGAATGTAGAGAACGGAGACCTTTTCTACTAGAAACGAGGCATTTCTTCTTAGGCCTCTGTGTGTTTTACCCCATCTGCATTTTAATTCTGATCGAAGATAGATGTCAAAGGGCTATAGCATCCACTTACCATTAGGTGGACTGTATGCTCGTTTGTTAGTCTTATTCTTTAAAAGAACGCCTACGTTAGATTGCTTTCATTAGTAATCTTTTGTAGACTTTGGAAGCAATGTTGTAACAGTGATATAATATAACTGCGTACTTTTGGTAATTTTAAACCGTTTCTAGTTTTTAAAATAATTAATTTACTAAATAAAATAAAACGGGAACATGCTAGTGGTAGATATAGATTGTATCTTAAAAATATTTATCTCAAATGTCCATCCATTGCGAAAATACAGGAATACATTTATTTTGACGAAACGCCTCCTCGATAAACTTTTAGGGCAGACTCGTAAAAAAAAAGCTGTTTTTAGTTATACTTACAGTGGCGAAGCTAGAGCTCCAAGCTAGGGCAAGCCCAAGATATAAATTGATAAAAATATAGATTGTTGTTTTTAGCAGTTTTATAAAAATACACCAAACTTGATCTGTCTCCACGCTTCAGTTTCATATTCAGTGCTGTCAAGGACGTGTTTAACAAAGCACACAGAAGGCATACTACTGCTAGATAGATTGTATTACATATCAGCAATTGCATAGCTTTGGTGGCTTTGAAGAAAGCCTTTTGTGTTTGTTTAAGCGAAAGAAAAAAAATATTTACATCCAATACAATACATGTAAAACACGAACAAAGTACAAACAATGTACAAAATTAAAAAAAAAATTATTTACATTCTAATGGATAAGAGAAAAGATAAGATAAGATAAGATAAGATAAGATAAGTGGAATCGTCTCGCTTTCTTATGGAAAGATTTAATTACGTCCACGTAAAATGTTGGTGAACGTTTTAATTGTACCAATAACTGTTTTTAATTGCGATAATTGATAAGTCTGAAATACACTCTTAACCTTGTGTATTATCTCAACAAAATTTAAAGATTTCCTCTCCGATTATCACTTTAACACACTTCATCACAATGAACACTATTATCCTCCATTTTCATTAAAAATCTTTAAAAAAGCATAAATTTTGAACTCGTAATATTAAATCGCTTAAGATAAGCACACAGAGTAAATAAACATTGAAACGTGAAATGAACATGCAAACGTATTGCCCGCGCGCCTTCACTTTTAACAAATTTATTCCCAAAAGCCTGGCTTTAAATCTCTATACTAATTGCTATATATACAATCGTAGTTACATTTCACTATAGAATATTTTGCCATAGGTTAGAAAGAGAGCGATCGTCTTCTCGAAAGCCCCGTAAAAAGCCCACGCGAGCGAGGGAGACAACTATTAGCTCTATTAAAACTCATTTTTTATGACAGCAGCAGTATCGCTAAGGCAATACGAGGTCATCGGTCGACATGTGTCGAACAGTGGAGTGCGCGGGAAATTTGAAATAGCTTGAAACATTTTACGAGTTATTTTATTAGTTGATATTATTGATTGATTCAGGTTTAATAAGGCAAGCCCGGCTTTTCGGCTTTAATGGAAGCTTCGCCACTGTATACTTACCTAGATTTTGAATGTTTAGCGACGAAAGAAAAAATTAGAGGTGGTATGGAAAACTTTTTAGCGCCCGAACAATTGCTGTCACCAGTTTTCTCTTAAGGCTATGACCGACTGTGAGCGTATAGAAATTCTAGGGTCTTCTAGAGTTCTTCCTGCAATTAAACGGTAAAATTGTTCGTCACTATAGTTATTACCTACAATTTAGTTTGAATATAAAGTATTTTAAATCTAGTCGGGTCATTTTGGACTATTTAGTTAACGAGAAATTATGTTGGCACAGATAATACGCGACAATTCTGACTTCGAAACGACTTATGAGCTCGGCACGGCGCGGCTGAAGATTAAACAGGTTGCGGCTGACGATGAAGGCACCTACACCTGCGAAGCGTACAACAGCCTCGGCAAAGCCAAGTCCAGCGCTTGCCTAGTTGTTTATCGTAAGTATGATTGTACAATAATATTATGAACTTGATAAAGTTCAAAATTAAAACAAGTCAATGATTGTGGTACATCAAGTCGTGTAAAGGCGGTAGTAGACAATCTGTCATCCTACCCTATTTCGTGGGTATACTAAAGTTCATCTTAGAGAAATGTGCGTCAAATATTATAGCTACCGAGAGATGTCCAATCATCATCATCTTTGTGTAAAACCAGATGTAATATAAATCAGACACTTGTTTTAAGTAATAAACCCCCAGATGCAGCTTGCAGATCCTAATTTCTGTTTACTTTAAAGCTCAGTTATATTCCCGTTTATTCTCTATACATAATGTTGACTAAATTTTACTTATATTTTAAGATGCCGCTAAGCCCCGTGGGGTCACAGTCACTTGGCTTAAAGTGATATAGACAGCACGAGACTCAACGGCATTTTAAAGTTGTGTTGCGTTTGAGCATTTGGGCATTTCCCGTTCTATTCATGTAATCAAAATAGTTTACGCATCAAAAGAGTACGTAGTAGAGCCATGTAGCAGCTGTATCATGGTTGCACCACGAATGGGTCGGCTCGACCGGCGTAGGAATACGCTCTCACGAAATACCAGCGAATATACACAGTTTAATGCTACCGTTTTTTGTATGGCGAGTGTAAAGAACCAAAGGCCCTTTTCACTGCAAACCAGGCATTCCAACTTAGTCTTCAGGGATTTTTATTTAGCATAGCATAAATAGCATAAACACTCACGCCTGTCACCCAGAGGGGTAGGCAGAGACCACGGACTTCCATTTGACACGATCCTGACATACCTCTTTCGCCTCCTTTACATCCATATATCTACGCATACATGCTCGTCGGTTAAGGGTACTTTTAACGTGGCCCATTTTCAAAATATCACCAATTTGGTCGATAAACTTTTTTCTAGGGCGTCCCTTCCCGACTCTGCCGTTCACATCTGCCATATAAATTTGTTTTGTCACCCTTTCCTCATTCATTCTTTCTACATGACCAAACCACCGAAGCATTCCTATCTTAATCCTGGTCACAACATCATCTTGCATACCACATTTATCTTTTATCATGCAATTTCTCATCCTGTCATTCAGATTCAACCCTAGCATACTCCTTAAAGACCGCATTTCTACAGCATTTATTCTACTTTCGTGCTGCTTCTGCCACACCCAGCTTTAACTACCATACATTAAAGTAGGGACTAACACAGCATTATGAATTACCATACGTGCCTTTTTTGATACATTCTTCACAATAGAGTGTAGTGCCCCATCACTCTATTCCCTGCATTTACTCGTCGTTCTATATCCTTATCATATCTACCATCCCTGCTAAATACACATCCAAATACACAAACTCATCCACTTGCTCAATTAACTCTCCTTCTATTCTTATTTCACATACCGTTTCGCTTTCCTCTCTTTCAAAAACCATCACTTTCATCTTACTTGCGTTCACTTTCATTCCCCTTTCTTTTAATGCCCAGTTCATTAATGAAACCATCATTTGCAACTCAGCCGCCGATGACGCAAATATGACTTGATCATCGGCGTACAAAAGGCATTTGACGGTTAACTCGCCCATTCTTAACCCACATTCTTCATCTTTCAAAGTTTGCAAACACCTGTCCATAAATAGGTTGAACAGCCAAGGGGAAGCCACACAGCCCTGTCTGACACCCTTTCGGATGCCAAACCAGTCCGAGTAGACCCCATTGATCCTGACACAAGCACTAGAATCCCTATAAAGAGACCTCAATGCCTGTATCAAACCAGCGCTCAACCCATATGAGTTCAGTGTTTGCCATAACACATTCCTGTCCACTCTGTCATAAGCCTTTTCCAAATCCATGAACGCACAAAACACTTTCTGGTTTTTAGCCAAAAACTTCTCCGCAATCATGCGCATGGAAAAGACTTGATCTGTACACCCCATTCCCTTCCTAAAACCCGCTTGCGCATCCCAAATGTTTCCATCAGTTTCTTTCATAACTCTTTCAATTAACACCTTAGCATACAGTTTACCCACAATACTAAGCAAGCTGATACCACGGTAGTTTTTGCAGTCCTGCTGTGACCCTTTTCCTTTATATATTGGTACTATAACTGCTTTACACCGGTCATCCGGTACCCGTTTTAATTCCCAACATAAATTAAACAAGGTGTACAGCAGGCCTGCCACCACTCCCTCTCCAGCCCTTAGCATCTCGAGTGATACTCTATCATATCCAGCTGCCTTACTTGCTTTCATGCTTTTCGTTGCTTTCATTATTTCATCTACACTTATCTCCATACCCCTTTCCACTTCTTTCGGAATTTCTTGTTCATTTAATTCAGACGACTCTTCACTCATAAACACGCTTTCATCATTCAGAATACATCAATTCTCGTCTCTTATAGCATTCATTATAGGCTGTTTTGTATTTCACCTGGCAGTTCTTACGAGTTTCCAGAACATTTTTATGTTAGCCTGGAATATATCAGATATCCTTCTATCATTCTTATCCGTTCTTTCTTTCTTTTTCCTTTCAACAACTTCTTTTACTCTCTTATTTAGACGTCTAAATTCTGCCTTTTTTCTTTAAATCTCATCATTCATACCACCAGAATTACCACTTTTAGTTGCTAGTAAATCTAACCATGCTTTCTTCTTTGATTCAACTTCCACCCGCACCTCATCATCCCACCACAACGTATTCCTTTTCCTTTCATTTGTTCTCTTACTTACACCACATACTTCGGTGACTGCATCCACCAATATAATACTTTCTTAATATTATCCCACACAGTATTCAAGTCTAAATCATTCATACAAAACTCATTCAAACACCTAATATTTTCTCTCAGTCTACATTTATACTTCTCCTTCACATCTTCATCTTGTAACTTCTCTATTCTTATACGCTGTAACGCAGTGGTAGACACAGATGTCCGATGCCGCCAACGCTTGAAAAGACCATTAATTCGACATAAGACCAAGTAATGATCCGTCCCTACGTTGGACCCCCGGTAAACCCTTGTATCTACGACTGCGCTCCTCATTTTTTCATCCATAATTACGAAATCTCTCATGCTTCTATCATCACCTCTTTCCCATGTATACATGTGAATCTTCTTATGACGAAAAAAAGTATTCGTCAGATTCTTTTCAACACATACGGTGAGGAGTTCTTCACCATTCTCATTTATACTTTCATCACCAAACGTTCCCAATATCCTTTCATAACCAGACCTCTTCACGCCAACCCTTCCATTAAAGTCTCCTAACATAATAATATTTTTATTTTCCTTACATTTTGTAAACACCATCCTTACTTCCCAAACTTATGTCTCAAAACTGCTCTCGGATGTAAGTGGGCTTAGACATGTCTGGGGCGTACACCCCTAGCAAGAACAGCTTCTTTAAGCCCACTTTTATTCGTATCCATAGCAGCCTCGGGCTTACACATTCATACTCTTTCACACATTGACCCATTCTTTCTGAAAGGATGAAACCGACTCCCTGGCATGCCCGTTCGGTCTCGTCTACACCAGACCAATACGCGGTATACGTGCCATGTGCAGTGGCATCCTTTTCCCTTTCGTTTCGTCTCATTTACACATAACACGTCTATTCCTCTGTCATTCATCATTTCGCATACTTCATCCATCTTATCATTCATTGCTCCACATACATTCAGCGTAGCCAGACGGGCTTCCGCAATCCACTTTTCGCCCCTTCCGGGAGACAGAACGTGACGGGTGGCGAACCTCGTCGCCGGTTTTTCTCCCGGAGATTCTTCGCACCCCTGCCCCATTAAAGGGGCGCCGGGAACTCGGGGCCATTTCTTTTATCTCCTGACTCATGGTGCATACAAGGGGTGGTGGTAGATTTTACGCCGCTACCACACGGCGGGAAGCCTAGTCTATTTTTTTTTCGGCTTTGTCGCTCGTTTAGCACCACCCGGGGGACACGTGTAGGGTGGGCCTAAGGTTTGGTGGTCGAAGCCTACGGACGCGAGCGACTCATCCCCCTTTTTTGATTTGGATTTTTATTTATGATCTGCATTTTGATTTCTAGCCGAGGCTCTATCTATCTGTCTATGGGCCACATATCCACTGATCATTAGGTGGACTGCGTGCTCGTTTGTCATCCTTATTCTATAAATATCGACTTACCTTGGCTACACCTGTACAGAATCTATTGATGTAGCGTTTTTAGATTTAAGATAATTCAAGACCATTAATGTTATACATTTTTGGTTTAAAAAAAACTTAGATTGGTCCCTCTCGACATTGCTCGCTATCCTGTTCGTTAGGCTTCGACACAATTAGTTCAACAATTCGTAAGATTAACCCCCTGAGCTCAATAGAAACCAGTTATTTTATATTACAGACAGACGCTTTAACTTTATTATTACCTATCTATGGATAAAAAAGTAAATTTGTTCAAAAAATGAGTAAAGACCTTTGTCTCTATGTTTTCTATGTATCCATCATAGTAATCAACAGGGAACACTTAATAGAATAACGATTTTTATTTGAAGCTCCCGGTGAACCGAACACTTTAAGTCAGCGGTTGAGGCGCCCACCCGCGCTGTTGTCAACCACGTCCACGCCACGCTCCACGCCACGCAGTACACCCGCCAGATCGCTCTCCAGAAACAGAACCCCTGGTCAGTATAAAGATTTTTAGCGTTCAAACATTGAGAAACACGAAGTTTTATTTGAGTTTATTGTTTTACAAAATATATACATAACAATTACATTTTACTGCTTTTTAAACACCTTCTTCTTCTTCTATATAAAAATCAGTTCTGTCCGTTGGTCTCGCAAAACCTCGGAATTGGCTCGACCGAATTTGATGATTATTATATGATTATTTCCCTGGATGGTTTAAAAACTCAAATAGTCCCGGTAGGTGAAGCTGTTGTCGAGATTCAGATATTACCCGTGAGAAGCCTGGGCGGATCGCTTTAGCATATTGCGAACGTATCTATCGTGCAATGTTTGATAACTAAGGACTACTTTTTTAATTTAAATGCTTTATTGAAAATGTGAATAAGTTTTTTTTTCAATATATTTACCCTCATTATCATTTTCTCTTGTTTCGTAGAGGCGTTTTACATAAATAAATTGCACCTAGACCAATATTCAGATCCAGGACAATTATTCATGCTGGAATTCGAATTCATGGCTCAATAATTTGCAGCTAAATAATCTACACATAAATTTAACTTTTCAAATAGTTCAATATTGTTTACTTCGATTCTTAGGTCCAGACATGCGCAGCCTCTGCAGCCCGGCTCGAGAAGTTGCCCCCAAATTCTATACGTACCCGTTTAACAAAGTTGCCGAAGAAGGGGACACTGTAGTTTTTCAATGCGCTGTTAAAGGCCTCCCTGCACCTTGGACCACATGGGATAAAGATGGCGTCGTGATAACGCCATCATCTAGAATTAATATTAAAGAAAAGGACGAGATTTTAAGAATTTTAGAAATAGAAGAGGTTACGAGCGAAGACGTTGGTCTATATAGAGTGACATTGGAAAATGATTATGGTAGAGCAGAAGCTTCTGCGAGGCTGGAGGTGATGTCTCAAAGAGGAAAGTTCTATACTGGCGGTCGATCTTTTAGTGCTTCTCCGAGGAAGTCACTGTCATACAGGAGAAGTAGGTACTCCCCACTTCCAAGACAAGACTGATAGAGAAAATTCTCCAAAAGGTCACCGAAGTCCGCCGGCTGCCGAATCGATTTCATATTTGAGATGTAAGTACGACTACAAAAGATTATTGTGATATTTTCTTATGCAACAGCGAATTGGGTACCCACTCGCACTCATTATATTAAGTATATATTTAAGAGCTCAGCGAATGTTCTGCTAACATGAATTTGCGTTAACTAAATTTGTAATTTTTACAATTTGATTAATTTATATGCGAAATATCTTAGTGTTTCAAGTGCTTATCGGAAAGTGTAGTAGTAGTTATTTTAATATAGCGTTTGTATAATTATATATGTTTATTTCAGATAAGAAGGGGAAGAGCCGCCCCCGTAAGAGTAATGTTTGTTTGTTTTATTCTGTTTATTTATATGAATTTTACGTCACAATGATATATTTAAGTCGTTTGCACATCTTCAACAGATGTTTGATTTTATTATTAGGACCACAGAGCATAGAAATATTAAAAAATAACATGAAGAGATAGAAAAAAAATTATATAATTAGCCATGTCGTAATGGCTATTTCGTCAAGTGCTTAAAGTCCGTCAAGTGACTGGAGATTGTAATTCATGAAACATGCCACTTCGAAATGATTACCAACGAAAATATTAAAATCCGTTTAGAGACTAGTGATTGTAATTTGATTGTTCTGTGTGTAGCAATATTTTGTTTTTATAAGCACTTATAAATAGACTAGCATTCATCCGTGCAAACTGAAAGATATCAAACGAAATTTGAACTATCCGAATTTAATATGAATCAGCAATCTTCAAAAACTTCTTGTTTGTTACAACATTTAGGAATAAAGCGTGTTGTACCTTTGTAATTGTCTAGTTTAACTTAGGCTTAATTTACACTGACAAGTTAATAATGTTTTGTTAAACTCTAATACATAAACAATGCAATGTAAAATAATATTTTGAAGCTAATCTGTTACCAACATTGTCCAAAGTAATTAGCGTACACCTTCGGGCTATGTAGAATACATTTTATTACGAATTTCTCATTGTTTTATTGATCTCCTTGATATTTTTAAGAAGTTAGCATTTATAAAAAAGCTAACGAATAATACCATATTTGAATTCTTATGTGAAATGAAAGAAGATTGCGATTAAGTTAAACTCATGAATGTAACCAATATTTTAAACGCCTATCCTATCCTATTGAAACGTTAATGGAGATTGTTGACAGAGTTTTTCCAGTTGAGGACATCAATTTTTCAGGGGGATTCGATTTTATAGGAGGTATCGAGCTCCCGTGTCCTTCCTGGGTTAGCTCACGATTGTAAGATGACAATGTCATCCCTTTGTGGTGGAAGGTCACAACTTAGGTCATCATCATCGTTATACCAAGCTAGAAGTTCGCTCCTGAATAGAGGCCTCCCTCATAGATTGCCTCGATGAAGGCTTTGTATGGCACAAAGCCCTCCACATTTGCCACGCTTGGATGGCAGCTTATAAATCACAGTTTCTTTTGTTCTTTTGACTTTTTATCAGGAATATGTTGAAGTCCATCTCCTGTTTTATTTCCTTCGTCGCCTCCTACGGCGCCCCGGGACCATGTGGGTTCGACTTAGGGAAATGCCTGAAAGTTTTTGTGACCTCTCATCCTCATTTTCACAGATATATTTCAAAGTTCGAGTCAAATACTGTAATATCGAAATGAAAAGCAGCGTCGTATGTGTAAGACGTCTGGTCGGTAATCTGCTTGAAAAAGGTGACGATTTCTGCATGATTTGTAAAAGAATTTGCCATAAATGCCAAATGTTTTTTATAAATTAGACCTATTTGCTTCCTGCTTCCTTAGTCAGATACCTAATTAAAAATCAGTGGATAAGTATTTATGTAACTCACGGAAGATCTTATATAATAGACATGCAGCTAAGCTGGGTTTAAATAAAAGTAAAGTCAGGTACCTGCAGGTAATAACAAAAATCGTATTTATAATAACCCCTCTAGCTCAAGGAGATAACGACATACTGCTATTACACGACAATGGCTCTACAAGTTTGCAGAGACGCGCTACCCCGCGTCCTGCCACCGGAGTTGCATTATCTACCATAAGATACGACCTAACTGCACCAATCTTCGATCAATTATATATATTGATCGAAGGCACCAATAATAAAAATCAGTCCAAATAAATCTTAGATATGTTTTGTAATATTACTAAGCTATCTAAAATCGTAATCTTTATCTTTGTGAATAAATGCTTTGCTGACCTTGATGATTTGAATAATGTATCGTCGCCAATTTTTTATATTTTGGTTTTTATTATTTAAGAAAGACTATATAATGTAATAATAATGTCCTCCAGACCAAATTTCGGTCACGGCAGCCAGCTATAACGGTGACTAGCCATCGGCGCAGGAAAGGATTATAGTGGCCAAGTGTATGCGCAAGCACAGGTGCACTCTCTATTCCCTCACTCTCATATCTGTTATAAATTGAAATAAATCGTAAGCTTGTATTAGTAATCTAATGTCGTAGTCAGAAAACGATTTGTTTTCAGTTGTCCAAACAGTACAAAGTTCGTCGAAGAATTAAAGCTTTAACCTAATTAACATTAGATGCTATTAAATTATGTGTAAATTATTGGTCCGTCGTCTAAGCTCTCTCGGACCATGTCGTATTGCAATTTGATTACTGTGAGGGGTGTACCTGTGTTGTGCATACATTCGGATACCATAATTCTCTACTGCGAAGATAGGCTAGTCTCCGTGGAAACTGGCCGCTGTGACAAAAATTCGGTTGGAATGATACTTAACCCAACAATCAACCCAAATCTCGACTCAAACTAGCACTCATCTCAACTCGAGACAACCGACGCATTGATGATAATCACGGGAAGTGCGTTTGCTTTCTTTAGGCGAGTAAATTTATATTTTTAGAACTTTAAGGCTTAATTGCTGCATTCATGTGATTATTGATCACAAATATTAAATATGTTACGTATAGTTTTATTATTTGAATTCGTTAAAGCAGTAGGCCTCATTAGTCATTACCTACCATAGTAAAATAAGGCCTACAAGAAAGATTATTAGCAATATTTAATTTTGTTTTTCTTAATGGCAAATGTTACAAACTTTCGTTCATACTTTATAGAAACTGTACTAAGCCAATGATTGTTAGTAAAATCTGTAGACTAAATTGTATATTTCTCACTTTTTTTCGATTTTCTTTTAGATAGACCTTTTACCGTAAATAATTTTTTTATACACGCTGTATAATTATATACCAAAAATTAGATTAGATATAGGTAATATCCTGTACATCATTTGAAATTTGAGCCCATTCCTACCCCCAGAGTTTACCTGTATAGGTATCAACTCTTGCATATTATATCGCTAAGCAATGTATAAAAATATGTATACTTAATTTTAGGTTGTAGGTTGTTAACTGCAGCTTTCCATTGTAACCACCTTCCACTAGGTGGACTGTTACTTTCATTGTCACTTTAATATTAAGTTACAGTATCTTAAAATATAACAAAAAACAATATAATACAATAACAGCAATGAAAGATGTGTTTGCGACGTATACGTTTATTATTCTTTTTAAATAACATACATTACTTGAAATTTCTTTAAAATTTCACGAAAAAACTTCTACATGAACAATCTACTTGAACAATCTACTTGAACAATCTACATGAACAATCATTCAAAATGCGTTTCCTAATAAATGCAAATGAGTGAAATCATTTATTTTTACGCAGATAAATCAAATAAGCACATCTACTACTCATTGTTCTACGTAAACTGTTTTCAGATATCTTCCTTAAGTTGGACGTGAGCTGAAAAATGTAATAAGTAAGGTTAGTAATCTGCTTTATTTAAAAATTATAAGTTTGGTGTTCTTCAAAATCAAAAGGAAATAATAATTCTAAAATGACAACATTACTGTATTTCGGGCATTTTTGGTAACCTTGTCCTAACGAGTCTTCACATGAATAGGTCAAGCTCAAGCGCGTCGATTACAAACGATTCGCTTTATTTTTAAAAGATTATATTGCAGGAGAATATTCAAAGGCTGATTTTCATTAGCTAATCGTTAATCATGCCGTGTGCATATTGTAATAATTTTTGATAACAATCGATTAAGCTAAATTACAAAACATTATTACTCTCCACCTGGCTATAACTATGACACTGCTCGGTCACGACGCACGACTAATTTTAATATTTAATGTTCCATGGTAAGTGTTATGTTCATGCTACTATGGCTATCCGAGTACGAAACCGATCCAACTGAAAAGTGGAAGACTGGGTGACGTTATAAGTATATCCTCGAAAGTATTCGCTGTTGCATTGGACGACTTACCAAGCTGCTGGCACAGAGTAAGGAGTAAGGACCAGAGGGGAAGCTTCCTAACAACTTCGAAAATGTATACCTACTTATTTTGATAGGGTTGTCACCTGATTAATTTAAGAAATTTAAGGAAAAGATAACAATATGCGATTTTATTGTATGTTAATATAGCAACATGTCTATTTATTGTAACTTAAATTGAAACTGCAAAAATAGTATATTTTGCTAATTTTCTTAGTGTCTTACGAAATCTTGATGAAGGGTAATGCGGAGAGTATTGAGAAAATGCGTGCAATTTATAATTAAAAATCGCGCAAATCCCTTCGAGAGAATTTTAAGGAAATAGGTACTTTCACGCACAAAAATGAGGTAGTGGTAGTAACGGTTGTGATAGTGGGAGTTTTGTGGTGTTGATAATGGTAGTGGTGGTGATAATGACTAGTGGTGATGCTAGTCATGTTGGCGGACCAACACCAACGATACTAGAAGCACCAAAACCAGCACAACCAACACCAGCACCACTACCACTAACACCACCTTCACCACTGTCTCGTAAATGTATTATTTTCTCTCGAATGTATGTACATACTGTACAACTGTTAGGTATTAATTTATACAGAACACTAAATAATTACTTATATAAATCTATAATGTCTTATTTTATAATAAACCATCTCTAATAGTAAAAAATAAATTGTGTTGTATAAATATAAAATCTCGAAATATTTTTATTCCATTTATTTAAATGCGCACGACTAACATGAATACTCTGAGTGAGCCGACGCAAACCGGTTTGTATCCCAACGGAGCATCGGTGAACCTGTCGGTGAGGGCTATATATCGCTACGCTATGTACGGGTTATATATAAGTTACTCAAGAAGTTTTGAGATGCTCAAAATTTAAAAATGGAACGCACCCGTGTTATAGTTTCTAAAAAGTAAATTTATATAAAAATAGAACTCCATAAGCCATATTTTCATAATTGCTCTATATTAAAAAAAGTTCTATTAATTTTCCTGCAACGCTTCCTGCGTTTTTAACGATGATGCTAACCGTGAACATTTGCGCGCTATGATCTATTATGATTTTAAATTTGGTTTAACCAGACAATTAAGTTTACAACTGTTACAATCAGCATTAAGCGACTCATCCCCTTCACGCGCAATATCTTTTTGGTGGTTTGCTAAATTCAAAAGGAGTAAAATTAACCTTAAAGTAAAGAAACCTTAAACCTTAGCGTAACCTTAAAGATGATGAACTGGGGCCCCGCAAACAGCAGTAACGGCAGAAAATGTATGGACTACTGAAATATTAGTGCGAGAAGACCCACGTATCACATATACAGACATCGAAAAGATTGTAGGCATTAGTTTGGAGGCATTCATACCATCCTACATCAACATGTTGCAGTGCGGAAGCTTTGTTGTCGATGGATCCCTCGTTTGCTCTCCGAAAGCGAAAAACAGACTCGTATGGATAGGTGCCATGTAATGCGTCTACGTTTTGAAAACGGGGCATCTAGGTGTGTTTCAGAAATCGTTACTGGTGATGAGACATGGATCTATCAGTATGATCCGGAAAATAAAGGGCAAGCATCGGTATGGGTCTACTCAGAAGTACAGTTACCGACAAAACTGCAAAGACCTCGGAACGTCGGCAAAATAATGGTGGCTAGTTTTTTTTTCGCGGAACGGACATTTCTCTACGTCAGTGCTGGAAAATTGTAGATCAGTCAATTTTGAATGGTATACTAAAATTGCATTACCCAAAGCTTTTCAAGATGTGAGGGAAAGAAGACCAAAGACTGGGCTTCGGGGAATCATGCTGCATCACGATAACGCCTCTTCACATACCTCCCTTAGAACAAAAGCAATTATTGAGGAATCTGGTGTTGAAGCTCTCCATCTCCCAACCTACAGCCCTGTCTTAGCTCCTTGTGATTCCTTTTTGTTCCCAAGAGTCAAAGAAAAAATAAAAGCCAAGTTTTTTTCAAGCACCGAAGAAGCCGTGGCTGCTTACGAAGAAGCGATTTCCGACCTGTCAGATCAAGACTGGCAAAAGTGTTTTCAGAGTTGGTTTAGGCGATAGGCGAATGAAACTTTGTACAGAATATGATGGAGAATATTTTGAAAAGATGTAAAATAAATATTAATAGTATCTAGAATACTTTTTGTGTATCTCAAAACTTATTGAGTGTGCTACGTAGTCGCTGCGAGCCGTTAGTATAGTGCCCCTCTGGTCGGTTTCTTTACTCATGTGTTACTGGTCGAGTAGGTATACACATCACTTACCTTTATTTCGCCAACGATATAAACCCTAATACAGAATTGGTGGAGGACCTTGGAATTATGATCAATAAACTCAAAAGTGTCTCTCAATGGATATGTCTTAAAATGAACATGGATAAAACGAAGGATATATGTAACGTCCATGTTATATCTATACCGGTAGTTGTTAGGAGCATTAGGCTCAAAGTTGTTGGCAAGTTATTATAACCTGGGACAAATTATCCGACTAGGTAAGTCTAACTTCGACAAAGAGGTTTTTTTATAGGATAGGATGTTAAACGAGCACACACTCCACCTGATGGTAAGTGGTTGCTGCGGCCCTTAGACTATTTATCCTCGATTACGAATCAAATTGCAGATTCGTTGTCACCCGTGAGGACTAAGATGGAATACCTCGTTTTCAGTAAAAAAGGGTCTCCGGTTCTCTTCACTCACCATAAGAAGCACAGCAGCATTAAGCTACTATTTTACGCTGGTATTCTGTAAGAGCATGGTCCTTCCCCGGCCGAGCCGACCCATTTGTGCTACAACTATGCCACTAATATAACTGAAGCATGGCTCTACCACGTAATATAGGTAGGTCTATTGGCGGATCCGACTCGGATGGGCAGCGTTCGGTAGATTGCGACACATCTTTGCCGGTGATGACATATGGATCAGAGAGATGGTTCTTCACTGGAGGACGGAAGGAAGGAAGTTCAAGGGCGCACCCACGCACGTGCTTACGAAAGCACACGTTCACGCAACCACGCATGCACCTACGCACGCACACGCTCATGCATCCACACATTCACGAACCCACTCACACATTCACGAACGCACTCACGAATGCCCCCACGCTCGTACGAACGTACCAACAAACGTACCCACGCATGCTCGAACGCATACACGCACTAACGCACGCATGCACGACTTGTATGTAAGCATTCACGCACCCATGCACATACGAACGCACTCAAGTACGCACGTACGCAAGCAAATGCTCACGCACACACACACGTACGAACGCAGCTACTTGCACACGTACAAAAGCAAACGCTCACGCACCCATGTACGCGCGAACGCATGCGCGCACGAAAGCATACACATACGCGCGCACTCACGCACAGAAGGACGCATGCACACACGCACGCATGCACGCGCTCATGCACCCACGCACGCACGAAATCATCACGCTCGAAAGTACGCACGTACGCAACCACGTACTGACGCACCTACGCACTCACTTGTGCACGAACGCACGCATGAACTCATATATGAACTCACGCACGAACGCACAAATTAACACACACACACACACACACACACACACACACACACACACACACACACACACACACACACACACACAGACACACACAAACACACACACACACACACACACAAACACACACACACACACACACACATCCTTAAAAAAACGAGATTCGTTGTCTATGAACTACAAAGTAGAGATATGTTGAAATTTGGGCTTAAGATATCGGAACAAAAACGGCAGTTTCTAAATGGGAAATTAAAATAATAAAATAAGCAAACCAAATTACCTGTCCATAGAAGAAACACGAATAATACATTTTAAGTAACTTGCAGCGGGGCTCTCTCCGCGTCCGCACTCCGTTGCCCTACTTGATTCCTTAAGCGGTGTGCCGCTATCATCACGTTGCCCGCACGCTGTTGTAGGTATTAATACATTGATTGAAAACAAACATAATATAAAGCATATTAACATTAACTTTTGTTACAGAGAAATTTAATTCTTCATCTTAAAAAAAAACTCGTCATAATTTCACAGTTGGACGTAACATCTTCATTTATTTACAATTTTATTAATAAAAAATATATTTCTGTTTAAGGTGCAAGCGAGTATTATCAACTGATAAATGTTTTTTTAAAATGTAAAGTGTAAAGTTTTTTACCTGCCAACGCGCTTTATAGTTAGCAAGATAAGATTTTAAGTTCTGTCTAGCTTGCTTCATATGTCCAGCCTTTGTTCCTTTCGGCGGGCCGTCAAGTATCCACTGGTGATTTAGAGCCATTGAAGCGGTCATTCTTCCAGCGGGATTAAGAACTAAAAGGCGATCTACAAAGTCTTTCGCTAGATCAGAAATCTCCTCGAAAGCTGGGTCGCGATAGTTGTAATTGGCTCGGGTAATGTTTGCCGAACGTTGGGGCCAACCCTCGCCAGCAAATGGCATGACTCCCGACAATCTGTAATAATAATAATAATAATAACATAAATAATTAACATCGAGCAACGATCAGACTGCGTAGTTTTCATTATAGCAGTACATTAAATTCTATTACATTTTCTTGATTCCCATGTATTGTTGTTCTATATGATTTAAGTCATACGAGAATGCAGTGTTTAAAATATAGGTAAAATTGTAATATAACCAATCAACAAAAAGTCAAAAAAATTGGTTCGGCTCGACCGGGAAAGGACCACGTTCTCACAGCATACCGGCGTGAAATAGTAGCTTAATGCTTTGGTGTTTCGTATGGTGAGTGTAGAGGACCAGATACCCTTTTTGCTGAAAACGAGGCATTCCATCTTAGTCCTAACGGGGCGACAACGCATCTGCATTTTGATTCGTGATCGAAGATAGATGTAGATGTTTATGGGCCGCAGCAACCACTTGCCATCAGGTGGACTGTGTGCTCGTTTGTCACCCTATTTTATATAAAAAAAAAACATGTAATAATACTCACAACATATAAGTCACGACACCGAAACTCCACATATCACAAGCTAATGTCAATTGTTCATAATTAAGCACTTCTGGTGCCACATAGTCCCTAGTTCCATAAATAGCTCTAGTTACGTAATCATCTTTCAAGATTCTGGCGAGACCAAAGTCGATTAGCTTTATCTGTCGAGAATTTGGACTCAGACAGATGATATTCTCGGGTTTAATATCGAGATGCACTATTTTTAGTGCGTGTAGGTACTCCAAAGCTTCACAAGTTTGTCGCACGTAGGGAACCACGTCCACTTCCTTTATGTGCTCCTCTTCAACAATCCTTTCAAATAGTTCAGCACCCCACAAACTGGAAACAAACAGTAAAAATAATATAATTAAAGTTTTTAGTTAATAGACTGGTTTACTGGACTCTTCTAATTTAGTTAGAAAAGTTTTTTGAATAGGAACTGTCCGGAACGCGTTGCTTCCATGCGTGTTGGTTAACTTCTTCGCAATTTTTATTTAACTTCTCACCTCCTAGCATGTGGGAAAAACACTTGAAATAATTGTAATTTACAACTAAACTGCTGCCGTCAGGAAACACACTCAGTTTGATGATTTGAGGCAATTTTTAAGGCGCACGCTTCGTGATAAGCTATCACGTCCATTGCCGGATGAACCACGTAGCAAGAGTAGCAATTGCTACGTGCCCCGCGCAAAATGGAACCCTGCGCATCCATACCTGCCCATCACCGCCTCAGCATAATTTTTGAATGAAACTTATGAAAACGTAGTATATTGAATCACTTGATGTCACAAAAATGTGAAACGTTGCGCCTTTTTCGTGTAGGGAAATCCACGTGAGACAATCGGTAACCGATTATTTCGTTGGCGAAAATTAAACACAAAATTTCATATGGTAAACGTACAAGTTTCAACACCCACCACGCCGAATGACTGATCCAACTGGTCACTTCGCCCACCCGGATCCCAGATGTGAAGGATCTTACACCTTCCTGTTGAACCTTCTGCTGACCCCTCATCCGGACGGCTATCAAGTCTCCGTCTCTCAGCAGCCCCTCTTGGCTCTTCGGATCATTGTCGGATCCGGAGTACAGTGCCGATCAGGTGGCTGCCGCCGTGTGTGGTACTATAGGTCAGCGGATTGGGATTGGATGCGGGCTTTTTTTCGCATAAACGTATTTGCTTCACTCTGGATGTGATGCAAGTGAGGGTACTTTTCATCTCGTCAGCTGTAGTGTTTATTGGCGGCAGATACCAGCCTTGATTTGGACGCTCCTGGAAATTTGCGTCGCGCCAAAAGCAGGAGTGCTACAAGACCTGAGCTGACGCATCGGTGTCCCGGAATGCAAACACTAGTGCGCTCAAAAAGAAGTATAACTCTGTCTCCAGGGCCTTCAAAAAAGTTATCGCTACGTCAAAGTTGGCGTACATTGCGAGAATTGGCGAGAAACTAGTTCGCCTTCCTTCGGGAACTCGTGCGTTCTGATCCCTCGTCAAGACTGCGGGGGAATTTCTATAAGCCATCATTACCATATTTGCAGAGAGAATATGACTCGCTAACCCACGCCGTAAAAAAGAAATCCGATCTTTAAGTTTCTCTTTTTGCATCCACTTCAGTTCTCGACGACGGAGGAACATACCTTCTACCATCCCGCGGTGTAAGTGCTCAACGCTGGATGTGCTGTTTACACAATACTTAGTGCGTAAAACGTTCATGTCCCTAGACGTCAACAAGTCGAGTGGGCCTGATGGAATCCCCCAAATGGGCTGAAGACATGTGCTCCAGAGTTGGTACCGGTTCTTACACATCTTTTCTGATTCTCTTACTCTTCAGGCGTCGTTCCAGGTTTATAGAAGACAGCCTTAGTGCACCTGATCTCTAAAAAAGGTGACCGCTCAGCACCCGTCCAACTACAGGCCTATGGCTATCACCTTATTCTCTAAAATAATGGCATCCATTATTAACTGCCGGCTCATGCGGTACCTTGAAGAGCATCAAGTGATGTGCGTCGAGGTCGCTCAGCTGCCGATCTTCTTGTGTACTTGACTCACCGATGGGCGGAGATAGTCGAGACCAAAAGATAGGCCCTGGCGGTTAGTTTGGACATAGCGAAGTACTTCATCGAGTTTAGCTTCTTTCAAAGCTTCCCTCTTATGGGTTTCCCTTAAATATATTTAATCTAAACATAAATTACAATAATTTCCCTTAAATATATGACTATAATAATAAAAATTACGCAATTGGGTCACCAGCTTTCTTACAGATCGGCGTATTAAGGTAGCAGCCGACGGTGCATGCTTCGACTCCAAACCTGTGAATGCTGGTTTTCCACTAGGCTGCGTGCTGTTGCATACCCTGTTCCTTCTGCATATCAATGACACGTTGCATACTAGCAACATTAATTGTTACGCAGACGACATACGCCGACACCGGCTGCGAGTTTTTGTTGAACAATATCTCAGATTGGGGGCAACTAAATCTAGACCAGTTTAACCCACAAAAGACACAAGCCTTCGTGTTTACCGCTAAAAAGAAGTCCTCTATCGTATCTCCTCGATTTCAGTACACCATTGATAAAATATAACATTAGCATATATAATAAAAAATATATATATATATATATATATATATATATATATATATATATATATATATATATATATATATATATATATATATATATATATATATACTAAAAAAAGATTTGCAGTTATTTATGTAGTACCCATCTTCAGTTTTAAAATATTAGTTTCATATCAAAAATCATTCTAAATTGAAAGGACTAGAGTATAACAGAGCCTATAGTAAACTACTGTATTACTGAACACCAACAAAATTTTTACCTATAGATAGTAAATCACAGTTTTGAATATTTGTTTTTACCACTTTATACTTAAGAACCCATAGCAGATCTAGGGCCCTTCTATAGAATTTGCCACAGCCCCCGCGCTTGCTACATACAGCTCTGACCACGTCTCTGTAACTTAACTCTGTAACAGAAACCCATCAATATCCTGTGTTATACGAGGTAGGTGGTCTAATATCAGCAAATAATATTTTAATAGTGGTTGTGAAAGATATTACTCTCATAATGCACCACTGACCGCTATATAATAGGTCTTTACCTATGAAATTACCGTTCTGCAGTACCTACTAGCCATTTCGAATCAAAATATTTTTTGTATGGCTGAGAATACTAATTTCAGATTAATTTTATTTTAAAAACATGGAATTTTTTTTTCAATATTACTCGTTTTTTATTGATTAGCCTTATGCTTTTTTGAAATCTTTTTCGTCGTCATGGATACGTTTGAAATTAGAGTAATTATGGAATATGAGTACCGTCGTGGCAGCAAAGCTGTTCAAGTGGCCACACAACATCAACGACGTTTTACGAAGCGAATACTACAAACGAACGCACTACCTGTTATTGGTTTGCCCGCTTCCATTCTGGAACAAAATTTCCAACAAGAAAAACCAGAAAAATTAACCCCGTGGTTGTCCGAAAACTTTGGTCGACATTGACGAATTAAAGGCGATTGTGAAAGCTGATGATATCATATCTACGGTTGAATAAGCTGCAGCTTTCGACGTTAGCGTCAAAACAAAAGTGGTCCTTTAATCCTTTTGCACATGGGTAAACAAACGGACCAGAAGGGAAGCTACATACAAACGGCTCGCTGCGACTATACCAATACATAGCGCAGCGATGTGTGCGTGAGCTCTGACCGACAGGTTCACCGACGGTTCGTCGGGATACAGTCCGGTTTACGCCGGCTCAGTCAAAGTATCCATGAAAGGGATGTTAGTCGTGCACATTTAAATATATGGAAGAACAATATTTCGTGATTTTATAAATCAATTATATTTTAATTTTTATTTAATTTTAGAGTTATGTTTAGAGATTATTAATTATAAAATAAGACATTATAAATTATATAAGTAATTAATTAGTGTTCTGTTAATGCTTAACAGTTGTACAGTATGTATAAAAATTCGAGAGAAAATAATACAATTGCTAGACAGTTGTGAAGGTGGTCACAGGTGGTGTTAGTGGTAGAAGTGCTTGTGTTGGTGGTAGTGGTGCTGGTGTTGATGGTGGTGCTTGTAGTATCGTTGGTGGTGGTGGGTAGTGGACCACCATCAACACCGCTGCCACCAATACCATCACATCAACTAGCATCACCACCACAGTCATTATCACCAGCACTACCACTATCAACATCACAACCACCACCACTGTTCACTTCACATACAAAAAGAAAACAAAAGATCAGGTGGTGGTACCACCCAATTTTTTTTACTCATAAATACGTTGTCTTACGAAAATAATATTAATAAAAATATTATATAATATGAAGCTTCTGTGAGAATACCTATTTTCTTAAAATTCTCTCGAAGGGGTCCGCGCGGTTTTAAAATTATAAATTTCACGTATTTTCTCAATATTCGTTACTTTATCCTACAGCAAGATTCCAAAAGCCATAATACTATGACAATTAGCAAAATATACAATATTTGCAGTTTAATAAAGATTTATTAATTTAAGTTACAATGTAATCACATGTTGTTTTATACTATACATATAATATTGTTTTGTTTTCCTTAAATTTTTCACATTCATTAGGTGACAACCCTATTAAATTATATATATATATATATATATATATATATATATATATATATATATATATATATATATATATATATATCAAACAAAAAAAAAAAAAAAAAAAAAAAAAAAAAAAACCCAACACAACCAATATATAGGTAAACATTTACGAAGTTGTTAGGAAGCTTCCCCTCTGGTCTTTACTCTGTGCCCATTGCGTCAAATTGGCAAGGTAAAAAAAGTTTAACAAATGGGTGCCCGATGAATTCAATGATCGCCAGCGTGAGTGTGTGTCGCGACGTGCCTTGCACTGCTCAACAGACACTCAAATGAGGGAATTTTGAACAGATATGTTATCTGCGACGAAAAAAGGATTCTGTTCGACAATCTGAAGCGCTGAGCAAGTTGGTTGGATCTTGGTTCAGCACCTAGGGCATACCTAAACGATAACTAACCCCTGAAAAGTGGTGGTCACTGTTTAGTGGCCTAGCGCCGGTGTGATTTATCATAGCTTCCTATCTAACGGGATGAGCATTACTGCAGATGTGTACTGTGAAGAACTGAACACAATGGTGGAGCAGATCGCACGTCTTCAACCAGCTTTAGTCTATCACACGTTGCACTGCTCCTACACGACAACGCGCGACCTCATACTGCACGACATACGGTCTCCAAGTTACAACAGCTGGGGTTAGAAGCTCTCCATCATCCGCCGTACTCACCAGAGTTTGCACCTACAGACTTCTATTTTTTACAGAATTTGGATAACTTTTGGCGGGAAGAAAAATTTTATACTCCAGAGGCAGTACAAAATGCTGATTTCTTCAAGAAGGGCATCAATAAACTGACATTTATAAAGATTGGCAAAGATGCATCGATTGCATGGACGATTACTTTTATTAAAAGAATTAAAAAATACTGAAAAATATTACGTTAACTTATTTCATACAAAATTTATAGATTAATATCTGTACAGGCACTGCTAACAGCGAGGCGATTTCATTTTCGCCTTTTTGGCGCTGATAGCAGTAGTGAGCGTCTGCGGAATTAATAAAAATGATAGAACAATGTGATAAAATGTATCCATAAAAGTTCTATACCCAGACCTACAGGTAACGTCTACTCAATTTATGTATGATTTTAATATAGTACCATAGAATAAATAAATGTATCAATTAATACAACTTATGCTTAGGCTTACATAGGCTTACATAGGCTTTATATAAAATAAAATTCGACGCTGCGCTAGTCTGTCTACGTTTATCTTCGTAACTACAGAACGGGTTTTGTGAAACTCGCAGGTTCCACCATTATGTACGGTTCATTCGAGAGGTTTAAATGTCCAATGAGTAGGAAAAAAGAGTATATAACTACAAAATATAAACGAAGAGTAGGGCGGCCCACGCTAGATGAACCGACATGGTGATACATTTTTTTCTTATAAAAAGAAGTCGATGGCTCCGAAACGAGTTTTGAGGCATTTCTTTTGGGAGGCATATGTTCAGCAGGGCAGACTTTTGAAGGGCTTGTAATGATGCTTAATTAATAATAGAATATCATAAAAAATCACAATTATGAATATGCATAAACTTCTTCCATTTCTTCTTCTTCATCAATTCTTAAAGTCTACTGCTGGACATAAACCTCTCATGGTAGGGCATTTGTCATAAATAGTATGACACATTAAGCATATATACGGGTATGTATACTTGCTATGCAGAGAAGTTTTCGAGTATACATTTAAACTACAAAATGACAAAATTTGTGTTAATATATGGCCTAGACTCTAACTTTAACATTGTAGAGTTTGAGTTTAAACTCAAGATTGTCTTTGGATATGGCCTAAGACTCCTTTATGATTAGTCACTCAATTCATTATTGCTTTTTATTATAATGTTTTGAAATCTTATAATTTGTTTTCTTAACTTATCAACTTATCATGAATATGACCAATGAATAAATGTATATAATCAAACGCGAAGGATGATAAAAATCTAAGACTAGAAGGTAAACTTGCATGTACTTATTTAAATTTCTGTATCTACTTACTAATTCATTACGAGAACAAAAGTATCTTTCGAGGAGAAAGCCTCTATTAATTCCACTACTTTTGGATGCGTCAACTGCTTCATGATGTCGAATTCCCTTAGTGCATTGTCTCTTTTCTTCTGTGTTCTCGTTTTGAGAATTTTCGCAGCGTAATATTTTCCCCTCTTGTCCTTAACTAGGACTACGCTGCCAAATGCGCCTGAACCGATTAAATTATCAGTTTTTCTGTAAGAATGATCAAAAAGTTTCATTTCTTTTAATTCGCATGTGCCTGAACTCGTTGGTTCGTCCTGAAATGGTGCTGAAACAAAATGAAAAGATAGAATGTAACAAACGATTTAAAAGTATCAATTTTTGTACTGACGCAAACAAAGAAGCAGAACAGATACCCATTTCCCTTGTAGTACCTATCTATCCTACTTCACTCATAAATAACACAATCTATTTGTAAACTAACATATTTACTGCTGTACAAAGTATTCTCCTTTACATTTAAAACACTTTTTCATCTATTCAAATTATTTTTGGAAACGTAGATACCATTGGCCTGAGGGCATTTTTCTCACGTGCTGGTAAGCAAATATGTTGCATTCTGGATATCAAACCTCTTATGAAATCTTTGATTTTTGGAAAAACAAAGAAATTGCATGGTGCGAGGTTTGGTGTGCGTGATTAGTCACGAACCCCATCTCTTAGAAACTAATATGACTGTCTTATTCGCGTTGTGTATTTCGGCGTTGTCATGGTACAGTGTCAAGGAGCGCAAAACTTTCAGTGTGCCTTATATTTTGTCTGCCTCGGAGGTACGTAAATGATGCTGCTGATCATAAGGTTTTGAGTTCGAGTCCCGGGTCGGATGAAAGAAATCAGTTCTTTAGTTTTTCTGTCAATAAAATCTCGAAAAAAAAGCACCTAAAGCCAAGTTAATCCTGCGCCTGATCTCTCTCAGGTCGTCTTATCGGACTATGAGAGTGGTGAAATAGAGTGTCCCCGTACACTTGTGTAATATTATCCTGTCCTGCACAGATAACTAATCTGAATTTCGGTCTAGATGACATTATTATTATTATCTATCTATCTTGATATACTAAGAGTCCAAGTACTATGTTTCTAAAATATATAATATTAGTAGGTAAAGCTACTATATTATAAAGAAGGCATAATACGGCGTGAGGCTGGTAATAAAGTGGCAAAAACGTTTGCTAGTTACAGTTGAATTCATTATAATCTTAAATATTGATCTATACAACTCCTTTTAATTATGGAAATATCAATATGAAACGTCATTAACAATACAGCCTTTCATAAATTCACTGCTGAACATAGTCCTCTCTTAAGTAATACCACAAAACATGGTACCGAGTCAACGGCATCGCACAATTTCCTACCGATCTTACCGGTTTGCTACTACCATTTATCGAAACAACCCTTTTTTGCCCATCTGCTATACATATTTTGTCTAGTAATAGGCTCGAAACTACTTGACCAACTATCTTGACCAAGCCGTACTTAAAATAAACGTTTAGTTATTGCGCTAGTAACCGTATTAAAGTAAAAGTGAAACTACTTCAAATAACTTTATTGAATATTCAAAGAAGAGATAGATATATTATTTTGGGTAAATGAAGAAATTAAATGTACAAATAATAAAAGAAAAATATATTATACTCACATATACAAACAACCTGTGAATCCGTTAAGGCAGCCATACGAGGTGTAGCTCTAATCTGAAATTTAAGTATCTTCTCAATGGGTGGATCGTTAACTTCAAACATCGGCAAACTGGTCAATCCCGCTTCAAAAAACGTGCCGTCAGGTTGATAAAAGTCGACAGCGTACCATGTATCAAGATCGGATTGCCTGTAATTAATAAAACATTATTGACGGGTTACCCCGTTTATCCACCATAAGAAATCCACCCTATGATAGATAATCGGAATTCACTTTCATTTCTACTTCCGAGTTTTTACCCTAAGTTGCAGTTCAACACATACACAATTTGAGCTGCCTTAAAATTTATATGCCGACAACCACCTTAATTTTTTACAAAATCGTTTGCCGAATTTATTAGAAGACTGACGTACCACTTAAAATCTACCAGGATATGTGGTTTCAACAAGATGGACGCTTAGCGCATTATGCTCATCCAGTACGGGATCATCTGAACACAGAATATCCTGGTAAATGGATCGGACACCTTGGCTTTTATGACTTCCTCGTTCTCCGGGCCTAAATCCACTTAACTTCTTTTACTTAGGCTGCATAAAAGAAAAAGTGTACTTGAAACTAATGTAAAATCTAACCGAACTACGCTGCGAAATAGCTGAAACAGCAGAGGAAATATTATACTCAAAACGATACGCACGATTAGTGAAAAGATCGTTTCTAAGGCGATGCAGAGCCTGTATTTGTGCCGAAGGCAAACAATTACGATACTCGTATTTCGTAGTGTTTCAATATTGTAAACTTTTGCTATAATACGACAATAGCGCATCATTCTTTGATATTTTGTTGTTCTAGTTTTTTATGTTCTAAATTGTTGATAATCGTGATAATATTTTTTGGGAGATAATATCAAGTGTTGCACCATTTTGAAATCATAATTAAATGGAACATTTTTAAAACAACTTACCTATGGTAGTATAGTACATTTTTTAAAGATAAGGGGTCAAAGTTATGTGTTAGAACGTTTTTAACCATGACTTAATTAAACTTTATTTTTTGTACTAAACTTACAATATTAATTATTGGAGTTGTGACTGCATTCAAAAGTATAGTTATTTAGGGTTACATTAAAAATCACTGAAACATATTAAAATTGGTGATCACAGTACCTAAATATGTGATCTAATGTGTCAAAATGTTGATTTTTAACATTTTCAAAAGTATTACCTATTGTCACTTAACCAAGTAACATGGTTTTTTTTTTCATTTTTGGCAGAACTGGTACAACCTTGCCCGTACCTGCTTGACGTTGAGTTTCTGGACAGCCTATATTTTCGTTAATAAGTATTCATCATCATCATCATTACAGCCCTTCACAAGTCCACCACTGAACATAGGCCTCCCCCAAGTAATGACTCAAAGCACGGTCCTGAGCCACCTGCATCCATCGACTTCCTGCATGTCTTACCAGGTCGTCACTCCATCTAGTGGGGGGTCACCCTACACTACGCCCACAGGTACGAGGCTGCCACTCGAGAACCTTTCTTCCTCATCGGTTATCGGTTCTTCGAGCTATATGGCCGGCCCATTACCACTTCAGCTTACTAATCCGTTGGGCTATGTCGGTCACTCTGGTTTTACTGCAGATATCCTCATTTCTGAGTCTATCACGCAGAGAAACTCCGAGCATAGCCATAGCTCGCTGAGCGACCTTGAGCATCCTTATACGGCCAGTAGTAAAGGACCGCGTCTCAGATCCGTAAGTCATCACTGGAAACACGCACTGGTTGTACACTTTAGTTTTCAGAGATTGAGGTATACCTGACGAGAAGATGTATCGTAATTTCCCGAATGCTACCCAGCCGAGTTGAATCCTTCGATTGACCTCTCGGTCGAAGTTGGACTTACCTAGTCGGACTATTTGTCCCAGGTAAACGTACTCGTCAACAACTTCGAGCATAGTGCTCCCAACAACTACCGGCATAAGTGTGACATGGAAATTAAACATGATCTTTGTTTTGTCCACGTTCATCTTATGACCTATCCGTTGGGAGACACCATTGAGGTTATGAAGCATAGTGCTAAGGTCCTCCAGCGATTCTGCCATAAGGACTATATCGCCGGAAGAAGGTGAGTGATGTACTCGCTATTGATGTTAATACCGTATCCTTTCCAGTCCAGTAGCTTGAAAACGTCTTCCAACGCAGCGGTGAAGATTTTCGGGGATATAACGTCACCCTGTTTTCCATCCATCCCTCTGCAGTTAGATAGATTTCGAACTTGCTTCTGTACTTGGATAGCCATCGTAGTGCTACTGTACAAACTTTTCAGCACATCGGTATACCGACAGTCAACTTGGCACCGCTGAAAGGACTGTGGCACCACCCAAATTTCGACGGCATCAAAGGCTTTCTCATAGTCCACATATGCCAGGCAAAGTGGCAGATTGTACTCTTCGGTCTTCTGTACAATCTGCCGCAGGGTATGTATGTGGTCTATGGTACTGAAGCCTTTTCGGAAACCGGCTTGTTCGGGATGCTGGAAGTCGTCGAGTCTGCGTGCGAGACGATTCGTAATGACTCTCGAAAACAGCACGTAGCACGTAGACGCGGCTCAGAAGGGAAATCGGTCTGTAGTTCCTCAAGAGAGCGTTGTCGCCTTTCTTAAAGAACAAGACCACCGCACTTCTGCTCCACGCCTCCGGAGCAGTGCCACCATGGAGGACGGAATTGAAGAGCTTCTGAAGGACTTCAAGTACCGGTGTTCCACCCGCTTTCAGAAGCTCCGCTGTAATTCCATCCTCGCCTGAGGCCCTGCCGTTTTTAAGGTGCTGGAGAGCCATTCTAATCTCGCTTAGACTGACGTCCGTCCGGGATATCATCGGAATAGTGTCGGATAAGACTTGCTCTTGGATCGTTACTCACACTTGCGTGTGGCTCCAACGATGATGTGTACAGCTGCCCATGGAAACGATGCTGCCACATTCAGTCTTCAGCTTTGACAGTTGGCTCTTTCTGGCAGAAAGATCTCTGGCAAAGACTTGGAGCCCTGGTTCCGCTCGATCGCTTCTTTAATACGAGTAGTATTATAGTTGCGTAAGTCTCGCCGCATGCATTTGGAGATCTGTCTGTTCAGTTGCCTGTATGCTGTCAAATCTGTTGACGATTGCAGCCTCATCTCCCGTCTAACAGCCATGAGATTAAGAGTGTGATCGGAGAGTTTTTGTGTTCTTCTGCGGCGGGTCTTTCAAAACTTAGCTCCGACCGCATGGACAGTTTCCACGAGCTTCTCATTCATATCGACCACTGCATTGCAATCTTCTAGGCACTGAAAGCGGTTTCGGGATTCTGGATTAGAGCATGAGGGAGACGGAGCGTTGACTTCATTAGACGAGACCAGTGGTGGCGCAAGACCTAAATTTTATGTGGGCAAGATACATTTTGCGAGGCCCTCTGCTCGCGCAAAAAGACGGATTATTAAAAATGTAAAACAAAACACTTGACATTATAAAATTTTTATTCATGAAAAATCATTAAGTACCAACAATAAACTATATCAAAAAATTGAATGAATGGAAATTTTCTGCTTTTTATCCTGAATTGTTTAATTATAGCCTCATATTACAGCTTGGATGCTATATTTCTGCCTCGATAGACAAAACTGCCAACGCTGAAAGTCTTTCCTGTGACATTGAATTCCTGAGATAATTTTAATGCGTTTTAATTTTGAGAAGCTTCCTTCAGCGGAGGCTGTAAGTACTGATCGGTATTGTTAATAATGTTCTAATGACGGTGTAAATGTTTGGGTATATTTCTTTTAAATTATTTTGTGTAACGTATTGGAGCAGCTGTTTCACATCTGTTACGAAGTTAGGTAAATAAGGAATCATTAATTGTAATTCTTCATATAATTCGTAAGGTTAAAAGTCACTGCTTTCACCCACACGCAGTGCTGTGTGTACATCTTGACAGTTTTTTAATATGAGATGGCTTGGAATATTTTTTAACTTGTTTAAATCATAAAGGAAACCAAAACTTTCATAATGTTGGTTTAAAGCCATAAATCTCAAATCCATCGTGTTATAATTGAATCAAGCATGGTGTTGAAAAAAATCTGTTTCATACCACCTTTTGGGAGACTGTATAGGTTAATCCTTGCCTTCATAATCCAACATCTTTTTCTTTTTGGCTACTCTTTTATTTTTAAAGTCTTATGGCAAATTATAACAGCTTTTTCAGTAAACTGGTGAGCATCAGACAAGCATTTTTCGAAACCTGATTGTCGATATTCTTTAATCCACTCACAAAATGTACGCATATGTTCTAGAGCAATGTTTAAATGGACTTGTACAGATTGCTATACCTAATTGACTTATTATAGTAACACGCGATAATAACTCCTACCATACATGTAACGATATTATAAATTCCAAACTGAGCATTTCGTTTAATACCGACGAATCACAATCACTGAATGTGTCTGACTGTTCTGTGTGATTTTTTAAGCTTTCGATGCATCCAACAAGATCGTCAAATTGCAACAGTATAGACTTGACTGCCTCGATTCTGCTTTCCCACCTCGTGTCTGATAAAGGCTTCATTGTGAGCATTAATCGACCTTCGATAGATTGCCAGCGTTTGCTAGAACACGAAATGAGCAAATACATTTCTTGAATAAAACCAAAAATATTTTAGCTGCCACAGAAGAATTAGCTGCAACTACTAACATCAGGTTCAAGCTATGGCAACCGCAAGGTGTAAAAATTCCACTATGTACGCCTACCTACCATATTCGCACCAATTCGCACCACTGTCGTATCCTTGACCACAACAGTCTTGAATATTCAAGCCATTTTTGTTAACTCCCCAAGTATTTCATTATTCAAATGTTCTCCTGTCGTGTAAATACAATTAATTATAAATATACTTATAACTAGAAATAATCTAAATAATAAACTACTCGATACCTGATACATATCATACGTATTTACTATAATACCTAATACTTACATAATGCACACATTTTAAGCATACAAAATGTTAAAATTAATAAATTTTGTTAAATTTCACATACGAACATTGTAAACCTACAAAATCAACTTAAATAATTTATTATATCGAGCCATACGTAAGCAGAAACACTTAAATAAGAAAGTTAACTCCCAATTCTAGCTTCCAAATTTAGAAACTAAAGAACAAATAATACATAAATACCTAACGTCTAATTTTGTAGAAAAAAAAACGTAATGTATAATTATTCCTTACCTTATTATATCCTACCTTAAACGCAGGTACAGTTTTTCTTTACATCACAAACAAAAAATCCATAATCGATCGATCAATAGGTACTAGGTACCTAGGTAACTAATGTTGCTAGACTGAATAAAAACATATTTAGTTATGTCAATAATATCGATTCATGACATGTAAATTTTTTCTGTGCGTTCACGGTTTTAAGTAACGCATAAACCTCCAGGGCGCGAGGCCCCCCGTATCGCGAGGCCGTAGGCGATGGCCCACGTTGCCCACGCCTTACGCCGCCTTTGGACGAGACCTATCCAACTTAACGCTTAGGTTCAGTGTCTAACCATTCGGTGATCGCTGCCAGTTTTCACCCTTGCGATCACTGAGACATCACTGAACAGTTGGCGTCTGGTCGTCATAATAAAGTCAATCTCATTTTTTGTCGAACCGTCGGGGCTCGACCATGTCCACTTCCTGTGGGGTTTCTGGAAGAAACAGTTCATCATAAAGAATCCCTCTTTCTCCATGAAGTCGGCCAGTTGCTGGCTCCTTCGGTTCCGTTGACCTACTCCATATTTCCTTAACTTCAGCTCACCGCTTTCTCTTGTGCCTAGTTTTGCGTTGAAGTCACCCATCAACACCGTGTAGTCGATTTTGGAGGAATGCATGGCTCTGGAAATATCCTCATACATTTCGAGGTTGGTGCGCCTGTATGACCTTCAGCGAATACCGTTTGGTGTTTCTGAGTATCAGGTACGCGATCCTCTTCGACACACTCCCAATCTTTACAACGTTGTTGACGAGAGACATGTCAAATCCGACACCTCCTTGGGACAGATGGTCGCCCTCCCGGTGATAGAACAAGTTGCCGGACTCGAGGATTACCGTGTCCTCCCCCTCTCTTCGGACCTCGGATAATCCAATAATATGCCAGTGCAACTTGTCTACCTTTTCTTCCAGCTCCAGTATCTCTCGTCAGTCCTCAGGGTGCGTGCGTTATATGTTGCCAGGTCGAGTCGTCGTAGGTGGCAACCGAACCTCCACCGGAAATTCTTAGCACCCCCTTGCCCCGCCGTTACCATGGTCGCCACCGTAGCCAGGAATAGCCCCCATGAATTTGCGTTATTCATGGGGGGATATTTGCCATAGTTGTCAACTTGGCGAGCGGGTTGGCAACCGCAGTTTTTTATTATATCACAGTTGTTATCAGGAAGATGCTGCTGCTCATCTCCAGCCTGTCTCCCTCTGTCGCCTCTTACGACACCCACGGGAAGATATGGGGTAGTGGATATTCTCAACCGCCACTACACAGCACTAATAAAAGGAAAAATTAAATGAAACTCTTTGTTATACACGAGGATAATAGGTCTCACATTTAGGTATACCAATATGGGAAGGTCATCGTATTGTGCTCCTTTTTCCATTTTTTTTATATAATAATGTCATACATATTGAAATATTTATTTATTTATTTATTACCAAAACATAAATAAAAGCGGGTTGAAACTTGACCAGAATAAGTTGATGAAGTGCGATTTATACTTAACTTCAAAAAATCTTAAGTAAGCCCCCAATATGATATCCTTAAATTACTCAAATCGATTACATTATTTTTTGATTTTTAAAACGGCTAGGAAAAACGTTCAGTGAAATTTATTAAAAAATTATTTTGTATACATATTTGTTTTATTTTTAAACAACAAATGAAGAATACTGAAGATACTTTCTAAAAAAGCAGTTCGATTAAAAATAGCACTGAAAATCTGAACTCCTTTTCCCGCCGTATTAAATTTAAGTTATAAATAAATAAATAATCTAAACTATAACTAGTGATGCAACTTGTCCAACTTAAACCTACTCTACTGAAACATTACAAAACTTATACCACAGAATAAATAATAGTACTACGTTTATACCTAATTAGCACGATTTTCTTCTAGACCATCGATATTATCTTCGTCCTATCCATGTCTTTTATATAATACTTAAGTCTTCCATTAGATCTGTCATAGTTTGAAATTATACATAAGAATATAATATATTATTAATTTAATAGAAATACTGGTACATTTATAAATTCAAAACTTACCATTTAATCACAACTATGTTCGAAGCTTTTTGTGGTTGATCATCTGCCGCTGCTGGTGCTACATCTGCCACAACTTTTTTATGGACCGTCAGTGTACTGCAGTCAACTGCCCCGCACTGCTTTATGATTTCTATAAAGCATGAGTTATTGTTTTCCAATCTGAAAAAAATATCAAGGATACTAAGTCCTATTGCTAAGTACTCTACTTTATTTTACTTCATTTTTGTATTATATTATATGTCTATGGGTTTAGCCTAACAAGATGAATTTACTTGTACCTCGTACTTGTAGGTCTGTCAATGCTAGGCTATATGAGGTCACAGAGGAACAGTCAAACATACGTAATTTTGACACCCCAAGTACAAAACCTTCTAGTCATTCGGATAAAACAAAGAATGTCTTTTTACAATTTTTTGATAGTTTTGGGTTTAAACAATGGATTAAAAATAATCTTTCTCATGCAAAGTCTCATCACGTTCATGAAATCTGACATTTACTGTTTATTTTGTTTGCGTATGTTGCGGGAATTCCTTCGTCAAACACGTAGGTACCTACTAGTTCAAGAGACAGTCTAAATCTAAATTATATTTTGTAATAAAACTATAAGTGTATTTATAAAATATAGCTAGGTACAACGTTAAAAACCTTTATCTCCATAAAAAGTTAAACTAATCGTATTATTTATTTATTATAAAAAATATACCATGTAATCGTATTATAAACAAAATTGATTTTGACAAACCTGATACTACTAAAACATTCCTGTACTCTTTTAAATATATCAATTGTCCACAGTTGTAACTAATCTAAGACTTACGATTAACAAACAAGTATTAAATAAACACCAAAAACAATGGACTTATACCATAAAAAACATATAATCTAAAGTCTAAAGGCCTCGCTGTACTCGTAGAGCTAAATCTCTATTAGATGAAAAAAAAAACAAATGGGTCGCAAACAAAATGTCTAGATAGACAAGACACGAGAAATAATATAGTAAAAATAATATAAAAATTTAAATATGTTGTTGGTAGAGCCATAATGCTGCTATTTTACGGTTGTATCACGAATGGGTCGGCTCACAAAGAGGACGCCCTCACAAAATACCAGAGTAAAATAGCTACTAAATGTTGCTGTTTTCGTATGGTGAGTGTAGAGAACCGGAGACCCCTTATACTAGAAATGAGGCATTCCATCGTATTCCTCGGGGGTCACAACACATTTGCTTTTATGATGCTTAATCCATGATAAATGTATATAACTATGGGCCATATCATTCACGTACCATCAGGTGGACTGTAGTTAGGTCTTTTGTCGCCCTTATTCTATAAAAAAAGTTTTGTTTAGGTAATTGATTTTGCCTAGTTGTGGCGACAAAAGAGAATCCATCACCGCATTCCATCCCGCAATGAGGGCTAATAATCGTATGCTTAACTAGATGTCACTAGTTGGGACTGGGGTGAACTTGATTGTCTGAACTGAACTGAGCTGGTCACACGGTGTCGTCATCATTTAAAAGTTGCGATTTAAAAAGCTTTCCCGTTTCTAGTGTATGTATATAGTATACAAAAAGAAAATGCCTCAGTGGCGTGTTCTTTAATTTTAACACATTTTAATCTTCTTTTATTTTACCTTTCTTTTAGTAGGTACCTACTATCCATAATTTGGTTTATCCACATTTAATCGAATGAATGAATATAGAATATAAATAACAGAATATATTAAAAAAAGTATAGAAATTAGGAAACGTAGAGAACCGTATTAGAGAGAAAGAAGAACTTCACGCGAGCCGGGAGCCTGGGAAAGAAACATCGAAGAAGAGAACAGCCCAAACGCAGCTGAGAGATGCTTGAGGGTCAGACGTTGTTAACGGTTCTCTCATAAACTTATACTGCAACAAACTCAAACTTATTTTAAAAGTCGGTGTGCTCATATAATACTATGGATAAACATAACCCACCAAGTAATGCAACGGCACCCGACTTAGAATACCGTCTTAGCGGTGGAACTTTATAATGGTAACTGTACTCATACTGTACACCTAACGAATTTTTTCTCCGCTTTTGGCGTGTGCAATTTTCTGTCAGCGTTTGCATTATAAGGGCACTAGAGACAAAGGCAGCGCACAGCGGGAGTGATCAGTTCCTTTATCATGAGTGAGCGATGTCGCTAATGTTTTTGTGTGTGTTGCAGTCAACGTCAAAAGTCCGCTGCTGTAAATATCAATACCACATCCTTCCTATTTGTTGCTATACTTAACTGGGAGGTTGGCCAGATTATTTTGATATTATTGAGTTTTTATCAGAAAAAAGGTACTGCTCATCTCCTATTTCTGTTTTCCTCTGCCGCTTCTTAATAAGGTCCTCTAGATCAAATTTCGATTTCGGCGGCCTGTCTTAACGTAGACTAGTCATCTGCGCATGTTAGGATTACAGTGCCAAGTGTATATAGTCCACAAGCACGGGGGCACTCTCTACTCCTTCACTCTCATAGTCCGATGGGACTGTAAACCGACACGACCTGAGAGAGATCAGGCGCAAGAACAAACGGTTTACGTGGTTTCCGAGACACAGGGTTATAGCACCGCCATTTTGTTAACTTTGAATTGCTCCTGAGAATTTCTTGACATAAAAACCCAACAATTGATTTTGTTCCGACCTGAGGTTCGAACCCGGGACCCAATGATCATCAGTCATGATTACGGTCACTCGTAAATCAAACGGCTGCCCCGTTATCAAAATCGCCCCTTGCGACACCAGCAGTCATACTGTTGGTGTCGTATGGGATTCTTTATCGCTGTAATACATGGAAAATCTCTAATCACTATAACTTGTATTTACGGATGTTATATTTTTTTAATAAAATAAGGGTGACAAACGAGCACACAGTTCACCTGATGGGAAGTGTATGCTGTGGTCCATAGATGGAATGCCTCGTTTCCAGTAAAAGAGGGCCTCCGGAACTCTACACTCACCATACGAAACACGGCTGCTATTTTACGCTGGTATTCTGTGATAGCGTGGTCCTTCCCTGGTCGAGCCGACTCATTCGTGCTACAAATATGTATAATATAGCTGCAGCGTGGCTCTATGCTGTGGCCTATAGACATCTGCATTTTTCCTTGATTAAGAATCAAAACGCTGATGCGTTGTCACCCCTGAGGACTATAATGGAATGCCTCCGGAACTCTACACTCACCATACAAAATACAGCAGTATTAAGCTGCTAATTTACGCTGGTATTCTGTGAGAGCGTGGTCCTTCCCCGGTCGAGCCGTTTAAATTTTTAAAAAATTATTCTGGTTTGAATAATACCAGAATAAATTTAAAACGGATAATTTAAAACACAAGATTTATCAGTTTCTTCGTATTTGTTGTTACTGCTTATTTCTAAAGGCACGGTTACAAAAATGTAAGATTGAAACTAGATTAAAAATAAATTTATTCAATCATTTTCAGTAAAACTAGTAGATTATGTCGTTGTTTATATTAATTATTATTAGATTTTTAATAATGCAGACAAAATTAAAGTCTCTTTCAGTCATCCATAATATTTTTTTTTTGTTTTTTCAACCACTTTTGCCCAATCATCCTTTGTGACATGAGCACATGCTTCAAAGAATATTTTTTATAGCATTGGGTGACAAACGACCACACAGTCCACCTGATGTTAAGTGGATGCTATGGCCCATAGACATACATATTTATTCTCAATTCAGAATCAAAATGCAAATGCGTTGTCACCCCAGAGGCTTAAGATGGAATGCCTCGATTCCTCCAACCCACTAATTTATTATAAACTACTTGATACAATAAAACATATGAAGTTATTTAAATTTAGAAAGTACTTAAATAGACAAATGTTATTATAAAATTGACGATTTCTTGAATAATGATTTCTTAAATTTACGCGAACATTACACATTGAATAAAACTAAATTTACGGATTTTATCGCGTTTATTTCACTACTTTTACTTATTTTTAATTCACCCCTGTGACCATGGCTGCTGTAAAGCACCCGAAACGTCAGGAATTAAAAATAAGTAAAAGTAGTGAAATAAACGCGATACAATCCGTAAATTTAGTTTTATTCGATTTCTTGAATGATAATTTTGACTAATTATATTGACTAATTATATTATTTTGTTTTTGTCATCTATTTAATTTTATCAATGTAGAATCTTAATTGGTGTTACAATTTCATTAATTTTTATTCTATTTTATTTTTATGGCATGATTCTCATACGAATACACACTTATATTTGTATGTCTTTAAGACAAAACATAGCGTACTAATAATTGTAACCCTCGCAAGACCTTCAATGTTTAAACCTACCTATGTTTGACAAATAAACTATTCTGATTCTGATTCCACTATAGTAAAAAAGAGTCTCCGGTTCTCTACACTTACTATACGAAACAAAGCAGCATTACTCTACTATTTTACGCTGGTATTCTGTGAGAGCGTGGTCCTGCCCCGGTTGAGCCGACCTATTCGTGCTACAACTATAATATAGATGTAGCGTGGCTCTACCACGTACAAAAAGTTATTATAGAAGAAACAGTCCAAAAAGTTAGTCACATAGTCACAAAATAAAAAGACAAACAAAAAAATCACAAAATTACGCACAGTAAGCTCTGGAAACAGAAACATAAACTTTTTTATTCAATATAGATTATGAATAATACTTATTGAAAGTCACTTTTTTCATTTACCACTGGTTCACAAAAAAAACCTTTGTCCTGGGAAGAACCAGCAATTAACGCAACGGGACTAGTTAAAAAAAAAAGAACTTACAATCATGCGTGTTACAATTAACAGCACAAACAAATTAGAAATAGCTTGGTAGCGATCACCCTTCCCAGGAGTTATATCATCCATAAATTCCTTAATATTAAAATAACCCTTTTTATACAAACTTAGTTTAATAAAGTTTTTAAACTATGTGTACTGACGTCAAATTTCGTATATTTTCTGGGATTTTGTTGTAAAAGCGTATACATCGCCCAAGAATGAATTAACGACTCTGTGGAGTCGAGTAACTGGTACCGAAATGGCGGGATATTGAAATTATGTGGTGGTTATTTTAGCACGGCCTTGTATATGATTTTTTTGCCTACACAAATTTACTTTGACAAAGTAAAAAAAAACTTGTTTT